AACTTGCTGAGGCTACTTGTTTTTACGATCTTCTCTTAAGGAAAACGCACCACAACCACAAAGAACACATTTTTCAATGCTCGTTTCTCGAAGAAGAAAATTTCAACAATTTACCTAGAGCGTGTCTCGAGTACGCGCGACGGACTCAATAAAACATTCTGTAACGTTTACCGACAAATTTTTGGCTGCTGAAAAGGAACTTTTCACGGTTGCAGTTCCAAGGAACCCAACAGATCTGTTACAACTGTACAACGCAACATTCTGCAATATAAAGTGGTATGCAACTCACGCTCGCCATAAGAAAACACCCAATTTATAGTAACAATAAATTTGCATGCATCGCCATACCATTTCTCTCACAAAAGTAGATAATGAAGTTAGACAAACTTATGAATGAAACTGAATTACGAACGTATTTTGATTGGTTCTTACCCAAAATTTATTGGAAGACAGACGTCTAGATAACGCCACCTTAAGTGCCACTCTCGCTAAGAGCGGGCCTCTCGCCTTTCCGTCGGAAAAAAGTTTTCTCTTATTTTTTGCCCATGAAAAGGGTTCAGGACACATGTTTCAAAAGTAGTTTAGTTGTTCTCCAATTCTCTTTTTTTGCGTCGCCACAAGCCAAAAATGATTTTTGGCCAGACCACCTCTGTGAACAGCGATCGAAAGTGTCAATTTCAAAGATTTTGTCTAGCGCGCAGCGACTGCAACAATGTAGCTCACGGAATTCTATCTTGCTACAAGTTACAAGCTGTATTTAGTTAGTTCACAGACAAAATATGGAAACTTAAGCTGAAATATTTTTCATACCAGCGTGATCAGAGGAGACCCTTCTCTTCGACCTTAATTTGCATATCAAAAATTCACTACTTTGTACGAAAGAATTCTCAAAATGCAGGCGTTAATCGGCCCGAAAAAGCATATCAGTGCATAGTTTATACACCAATGAGGTCACTGATTGCCTCAAAACCCGCGGGTATATCTCTAGCTTCCATATACCAACTTCTTAAAAACAACGCAAATCCATGTGTTTGCTCAATTGCGCTGGTGTCAAAGATCATTTGCATGATTCTTGGAATCGACCAAGATCTCCTTTTGACAGTTCAAACTTCGTTCGTTTATCTTCTACGTTGAGGATTTTAGGTTTTCACAGCAACTGAATGGAGATTAGATGCCGAGTTGTCCTAAGACGTTGCGTAAACGTGATCGGTCGTAACGCTTGCGCGCTTGCGTGACTTACAAAGTAGACAAAGGTGATTGGAAGGCGCCTTCTCGATAATTTACGTTGAAATATCAGGTCCTGAATTATGCACAGTGTGGATTAAAGAATAAAATTTGGCACTCTGGTCATAACAGACATATCGCGTTGCTTGAAAGGACACAAAAACAAGTTAAAATAGGTTGCAGTGTTTATATTTACAAAACAACACGCATACACTCCGAAATCATTCTAGCAGTTTCTCCCGAGATTTAGTATACGGCACCCGATGAACTAACCCTCCTTTCCGCAGATTTGTTTCCATCACTAATGATGTTACACTCTTATGTACCACAACGGTTTTGAGCGACAAACTCGACATTTCCCTGCGACCATCAAAATCAACTGGACAAACCCAGCTTGATTTTTTAAATTTTGTTTCGTTCCGGTCAGTTTGACCACGATATGGAAAAAGATAACAATTATTGGTATGTTCTAAACATCTGAACACTTTAAGAAACATTAGAAATGCGGCGGAGGTACTTGTTAACAGCCACAGCACAAGGGAAAATGTGAGGCAGTAAAAGAAAGCCAGACTGACTGGAGATATTTTTGAAGTTTTCGGAATTTAAGTTGCATTCGTATCACATGAGTAACATACTTGCAATTTCTCGAGAGTGAAGGCTATTATTTAACTAAAAATTGGTTCGTAAGTGCCTATCTGGGCTATCTGCAATAGCAGACAAAACCAGAATTCTCTTGACAAAATCAAAGGACAAATTGTGTCATGACGAATTTTTGTCTCGATTTTTGCATCCGCTTAATACTTCAAAACCGTCAAATTTCGTTAGAGCTTGATCTGCTCGTGAGACCAGCTGGCATAGTTTACCAATGGACTCAAACTCCAGTTTCAGGATTCATCGGACGTCGTTTCAAAGTTTCAAGAGTTTCGCGACAAAAAAAGCTAATGCCTTCCAGGTAAATTTTAGTGAGTTCAATAACAAGCTGGTGGCAGCTTTTACGACAAATGGCGTTGAAAACTCAGTCTCCTCTCACTGCCTCACATTCTTCTTTTTGCTCTGGATGCTAAAAAATACTTTTACTACATTTCCAGTGTCCTTTCAGGTGTTCTGGTGTTTAGAACATACCACTAACTGTTTTATTTTTTCCAAATCAGGGCTGAAATACCCAAAGCCACTCCAATCTTTGCTTTCCGTGAATCAAGTAAACATTTAAACGATAAAATTCTCATTAAAATGTAAAATTCTTCAGTCCATTTGAATAACTTTCGATTCTAATTCGTTACATTAACTAATTTTGGTTCCAACTCGTAGAACCTGCGAAACAGGTCGTATGACAAAGAGAAAAGTTTGCACAATCACGTCACGCAATATATCAAGCTGGGTTTGTCCAGTTGATTTTGATGGTCGCAGGGAAATGTCGAGTTTGTCGCTCAAAACCGTTGTGGTCCATAAGAGCGTCACATCATTAATGACGGAAACAAATTTGCAGAAAGAGGGTTAGTTCATCGGGTTCCGTATACTAAATCTCGGGAGAAACTGCAAGAATTGTTTCGGAGTGTATGCGTGTTGTTTTGTAAATATAAACACTGCAACCTATTTTAACTTGTTTTTGTGTCCTTTTAAGCAACGCGATATGTCTGTTATGACCAGAGTGCCAAATTTTATTCTTTAATTTTGATCTTCTCCACACTGTGCATAGTTCATGACCTGATATTTCAACGTAAATTATCGAGAAGGCGCCTTCCGATCACCTTTGTCTACTTTGTAAGTCACGCAAGCGCGCAAGCGTTACGACCGATCACGTTTACGCAACGTCCTAGGACAACTCGGCATCTAATCTCCATTCAGTTGCTGTGAAAACCTAAAATCCTCAACGTAGAAGATAAACGAACGAAGTTTGAACTGTCAAAAGGAGATCTTGGTCAATTCCAAGAATCATGCAAATGATCTTTGACACGAGCGCAATTGAGCAAACACATGGATTTGCGTTGTTTTTAAGAAGTTGGTGGATGGAAGCTAGAGATATACCCGCGGATTTGAGGCAATCCGTGACCTCATTGGTGTATAAACTATGCACTGATATGCTTTTCCGGCCCGATTAACGCCTGCATTTTGAGAATTCTTTCGTACAAAGTAGTGAATTTTTGATATGCAAATTAAGGTCGAAGAGAAGGGTCTCCTCTGATCACGCTGGTATGAAAAATATTTCAGCTGAAGTTTCCATATTTTGTCTGTGAACTAACTGAATACACCTTGTAACTTGTAGCAAGATAGAATTCCGTGAGCTACATTGTTGCAGTCGCTGCGCGCTGGACAAAATCTTTGAAATTGACACTTTCGATCGCTGTTCACAGAGGTGGTCTGGCCAAAAATCATTTTTGGCTTGTGGCGAAGCAAAAAAAGAGAATTTTCATGGAGAAAAACTAAACTAAACATTTTGAAACATGTCTGTTGCCACAGGTCTGTACAGTAATACAGAAGGAAATCAGGAAATCTGTGGTGGCGCCTCGTGTAACACTTTTTTGGAACACGTGAATTAATCCCAAACAGTGAAAAAATCTAAAATTGCGAGCAGAAAGCTGAAATTGAGTGCAGAAAGTTTAAATTTAATTGGTTGACAGGTAAGTCGCGAAAACATAACAAAACAAAATGGTGGTTAGGTGAGGAGATATATAGTAACAACGTTTTAATTCAGAGTTTGAGAGAAGAGGCTAATAACAAAAACACCTGACAAAGGGAAAACAACGGACTGAAAGTATGAACCGGAGACTTTTCTCGAGGAGTTTTACATAACAGTTCGCACGAAAGATGGAAAATATTACGAGAGTATATTTTTCAAAGACTACAACTCGCACGAGCCTTACAGGATCGTGCAATTTGGTTAGCCTTAGAAAAATTTACTCGTGCTGATATATCCCAAATTGCACTCGAAATCATGTGATTATTTATGCACGAGAACTCGTGTCGTTACTATTTAAAAATTTACATGAAAAAAGCATGAAAAAGTCAATACAGACGAAGGTAGACAGCGCGCCCGCGCTATTTTTGGAAGTCCTGTTACCAATTAATCAAAACTATGAAAAAAGTTGAGAAAGAAACTAGACATCGGTTATGCGTTTTCACATAAAAAAAATCAACAATAACAGTTAACTCGGCGGAATGTGAAACAACAGCGCGGGCGCATGACGCGCAAATCGGGCTGTTGATGACCAATCACGTTCGAGAATTTTGTTATAGTTTTGGTTAACAACATAAAAGTAGCGTTTTATAATTGTTCTTATGGAGTCTAAAATAACTTTGTCATTGCTGCGCACGTATTTTATAGAAATTACATCTTGGGACACGAATCATCTGTAAACAGTTTTGTATATGATGTAAAAAGCACCTAAGAGACTGGAGTAGAATGCTTGCCCTCGCTATGCGGTTAAATTTTAGGATCGGGAAATGGAGCGCTTCAGATAAAAACAAATTTAGATGTAACATAGTGTAGCGCGGGCAATTTTTTTCTCCACTCACCCACATCCTTCTTGTCTGTACTAGGTACTTTTGCGATCCTCAGCGTTTGCTTTCATAGCGTGTCCTCCAAATCTCCCTAAAGCTGTGCTAAAGCACATAAAAAAACCAATAAAGCAATCTACCTAAAGACTGTACACCAAACATTGTATAAAATTGAGAATAAGGCTGAGGCCCAACTTATAATGTACTTTACTGTTCACAAAATACTGTTTTTCTTTCTGTTCAATGCTTCACAGTGGATTGATACGACCTCAATCGTGCCGCTATTTGCGTGATTTTCCAAGTAGTTTGAGCTTGATGTGGAGTGCGTTCTTGTATGATTCAACGGCTGAATTGAAGTCCCCTTTGGCGTGCTGTGTGTCCCCGAGGGAGTTGTAATTATCAGCTCTTCTCGAGTGGTCTTTTCCGATGAATTTTAGTCCAGTGACAAGAGCACTTTGGAAAGACTGAACGGCAGAATCAAAGTTGCCCAGCTGATAATGTATAGCTCCTAATGTTAAGTAAATTTCGATTGTGTCTTGGTTATCTCCTCTAAATAATTTATGACTGATATCAAGTGCCTTCTGGGAGAAATTAAGAGCGGAAGAGTAGTTTCCTTGTGCATATTCTGTGACACTGAGCGTATGATAACTTTGAGCTGTTTCTGAATGGTCCTCTCCAAACAACTTTACACGGATACTTAGCGCATGGTGAAACGACTGAAAGGCTGGCATAAGGTCATTAAGAGTATAAAACGTTTCTCCAAGGGAATGGTAACTGTCAGCTGTGCCACAATGTTCTTCTCCAAACACCTTTAGACGGATGTCTAGTGCACACTGAAAGGACTGAAGGGCCGACGTAAAGTCATTTAGCGCAAAATGTGCGTCTCCAATTAAATGATAACTGTTGGCAATGCTGGGATGTTCTTCTCCCAACACCTTTAGACGGATATTACGTTCACACTGAAAAGACTGAAGTGCTGACGTCAAGTCATTTAGCGCGAAATGTGTTTCTCCTATCGAACGATGACTATCAGCAGTGATAAGATGTTTTTCTCCAAACACCTTTACACGGATGTTTAGTGCAAGCTGATAAAACTGCAGGGCAGACTTCCAGTCCTTCAGTGAAACGTTTATATCTCCTATGGATTGGTAACTCTCTGCCGTGCTATGATGTTCTTCTCCAAGAACCTTAAGCCTGATGTTCAGTGCACACTGATGAGATTGACGGGCTGACGTAAGGTCCCCCAATGAGCTTTGTACTTCTCCAATAGAGTGGTAAATCTCGGCTGTTCTTGGGTGCTCCTCTCCAAAATGTTTCCGTATAATTTCAAAGGCGCAATGGTATGACTGAAGGGCTGAAGCAAAGTCCCCAAGTGAGCGATCCATATTCCCGAGGGAGTGGTAACTCTCAGCTGTGCTCACGTGCATCTCTCCAAATGTGTTTAATCTTATGTTCAGACCATGCTGAAAGGACTCACGAGCTGAATTGTAGTCACCCATCGCAAGCTGAGTGGCTCCCAGAGAATGGTAACTGTGAGCTGTATATTGGCGATGTTCTCCAAGAAGCTTCAATCTAACGTCAAGTGCTGACTTTAGAGACTGAGAAGCAGAGATGAAGTCGCCTAAAGCATGCTGTGTGACTCCGACTGAGTGATAACAGTCAGCTGTACCAGAGTTTGTGTCGCCAAAACATTTTCGTCTTATGTTAAGAGCACCCATAAAAGACTCTAGAGATGAAGTAAAGTCACCGCTGGCATACTGCTGAACTCCAAGTGAGTAATAACTGTCAGCTGTGCTTGCGTCATTTGGACCAAGGAGGCTCATTCTGACAGCGAGCTCGCGTTGTTCAGCCTGAAGTGCATCTGGAAGGCAGTGCGTGCCGTGCTGTGTATTAATTGTGAATTGGGCCGAAGTTTTAGAACTCAAATCGGAATTTATAACTCTGCTCTGGAGATAAGACTTGCCGGACGCGTGTTCTCGGAATTGGCGTTCTTTCTCTAGGCCCTCTCCCTCATCATTAGTTAGCATACGAAGATTGGTGTGAAAACGAGATAAATCAAGCATGGTTGATGGACTCGTTGTTTCATTTTCTCGGAGTATATTCACTGCAATGTTGCTTAGACGTCGTTTTGTCTCAATGTCAGTGAAGCTTTCAGTTGCTTTACTGACAAGAAAGAGAACTTCTGCCATTAAAGGTCGTTTCTTCAGGGCATCTCTCTCATCCTTTACCTTTTCCACTGAATTCTTTCCTGTGTTTTCCAATGTGGAGGTTATGAGTAAATCTGTGTTTCCCGCCTCTGTGTACTCTTGAAGAATCTTTTTGTAACATTGTGCCCTGCTTGAAGATTTCGTGTGGAAGCGATCATGCATGTGAAGGATTTGAGAAATAGTAAGCCTAAGAACCGTTTCCTCAAGGTTCCCCTCTATCCTGGGAAGGGACTCTTGTAAACAGTTCTGTCCTTCTTCCCTCTCACCGTTACAAAGGTGGTAGATACCTAAATAACACATCAGTTTGCCTTTCTCTCGATCAGACGTCGAGAGCGCCGCTTTTTGCAATTGCTTTGCTTCAGAAAGCAACTGCCAACCTCTCTCTCTTGTGTCCCGTGTTACTTCATTGAAAGCCGAAGAAACGAGCAATTCCCGGTGAAATTCCTTCTCGCCAAGGGTTTCAGCTGCCTTTGCAGCAGCATCGTAAATGGAAACGAATCTGTCTTCGTCAGTCCAATAGAGCGCGTGAAGAAACAACTCCGCATGTACAAGTGCCTTAAACACAGCCTCAGCTGTTTTGGAGTCTGACCCAGGACGCAGTTTAAGACACTGCACTATATTCTCCTCGTCTTCGTAGAATGTAACAAACGCCATCATGGAATCCCCTGTAAGGAACTCCTCATTTAGCTTCATAAAGTGAGAGATATAAAACTCACGGAAACGAGTATCTGAGGTGACCAGCGTTCCTCTGAATTCTGTTTCTCCTATTTCTTGGGCGAATGACCGAGCTAGTGAGTGCATTGAGAAGGATTCAGGTTTTGAACCAGATTCGAGAAGAGACGAATCGTGCAGGTGACGCAGTATCCTCTTAGCCTCGACAATTCTTGTTACTCCCATAACAGCTGCAGCAACTTTTACGTCAAAATCATTGGGAAAAACACTCAAGGACACCAAAGCTTCCCTTTCCTTTGTGGGTCGTTTTCGAAACACTTCATCAAGACGACCATGTAATGAATCACGGGTTGGACCTATCACATCGCTGTCCAGCAATCGGTGGAGTGCACGCTTCTGTGCCCTGAGGAAATCTAGATAGCTATTCACCGAATCATTTCCTTCAGAAATTGAGTGACAGATAATCTTCAGGAGTAAAGGTATATTCTTACAGATTTCCAAGAGCTGAGTGCAGTCAGAGGCAGTCGCATCTGGTAGTAATTTGGAAACCAACTTTTCAGCTGACGACTCATCTAAAGCTCCGACTCTAACTGCTTCGTGACTAGGATAATGCCTTAAATTGAATGATTCCACGGCGGTTATGATGAGTTTAAGCTTCTCGGCTCGGCTAAGGACATCTTCAAGAAAATTCAAGAAATCTATATTGTCCAACAACCTATCAGCACCATCTAAAACGAGCACAGTTTGTTCCGAAATTACACTGAGGTGTTGTATAATTTGTTCGTCAATCGATGAACACGGCGGAGTTTGTCGAATGGGGGCAGTTTCCTTAAAAAAGTCGAGAAGCATTTTCGTCACATCGACTTTTGACTGACAATCTCGTAAAGAGAACAAGTACACCGGTAATCCCATAGATCCTAGTTCATGTCCCACGGCAACGGCCACCGACGTTTTTCCAATTCCAGGGGGGCCACAAATCGACACCAATCGAGTATTTTCAAAACCAGAGCACACAATGATCTTTTCACACTCTCTTTCCCGGCCCACAAAGTTTTTATCTCTCGGAGGTAGACATGGGCTTGGTAGAGTACCTGCTGGAGAGAAAAGACGAAAATCACCACCTCATTAAGCATTTGTTTATTGAATCCTTACAAAATACCACCAAGAAAGACTCAATCGGATAAGACAAGGTTTTCGAGAAAGGGAAAATAGGGAAGCACATAGATCACCACTTTTTCAATCAAGCTACGGCTACTTCAACTTACTAAGAGACAGAAACACTTTATTCTACGTCACCTTGAAAGTGAGGCCAGTCTTCAAAAACTGCCCCTTTCTCCAAAATATTGGCAACAACTGAAGCAGCCATAACGCTGGCAAACTTCTTCCAGCCTTCGGACTCTTCACTGGCATCTGCATAGTGTGAAATCCCCTTCACTGCGATGCACTCAACTTTTATGTCAGTAATGGCTGGTGCTAAGGCATCTTAAACGAAAAGATATACGCTAAGATATACGATTTGAATAAATGTGCAAGCGTAAATCTAACAAAGACCAACACAATTGCACGAGCCTGTACAGCGAGCGGATAATTTGCGTTAGGTCAAAACAGTTGTGCTCAATCAAAATAAAATACATTATAAATGTAAAAAGATTTTCAACTGAAAAAAAATTGAAAGCAAGGAAAACGGTGGTTACCTTTTCTGCTCTCTCAAACTGAATTCCTTCTCTCAGCCAATCAAAATAAAGACATTTTCTCGTGTATGTTACTAGTATTTTAAAACACTTTATCAAAAACGCGTCTTCGTAGCAAAACACGTAAATGGTGCTCCCTCTAATTTTGCATGACAGAAGAGAAAAAACAGTTCTTGCGAACACAAAATTTCACCCTTACCTCGCACTTCAATGGCAAACGCATCGGGATGGGATTGAATCAGTTCTTCACTCATTTTCCTGTCCTGGACGCACAGCAAGAGGCCACCACGGTGAATCCTTACTTCTCTGTCATCGAGATCTCGCAAAGGTGCCATCCATCCTTCACCAACAAATCGTATGAGGGACGAAGAAAGTTTGCTTTCAAGAGCTCTCATGCCCCTTTGGCTGTATGTTCCTAGCTTTGCTGTTATCAACACATCTCCTTTGCGAGCTTTCGCGGAATTGAGACTACCGCAAATACCAACTAGAAATACCACTTTCGGTCTCATTTTGATGATGGCCTTTTCCAAGGAAACAGCATAGTCAACAGGCGTTGTGTTCCCATGGGACTTAACCAATGCCACCCTAAGTTGACCGATGTTTCCAAAGTACACATCTCCTACATCCTGATCATAGCTTTTAAAAGGATTTTTAAGATAAGCAAAAGAACTTAAGAACTCGAACTCTTCCACTGTTAATAGGAGAATGTCTATGGGAAACTGGACACCACTCCATTTCTTTCGAAACACTTTAATATCACTCATCTTCGGAACAGTGAGACTCATTTGTGGAGGAACCTCGTAACAGTTTTTAGCTGCAAACAGAAAAAACCATTTCTTAAGTTTATCAGGAAAAAAATCGCCTTTACCTCTTAGATGTCTTGAAACAATCGTTCCAGCAATACAGAAAGGAATATGCGTAGTTGACGCCGATGGTGGGCATTATTTTGCGCTGTAGATATGTATTTCAGTAGAGGCTATTTTTACACTTTTCAGACATTATTCTACCGACACTTGAATTTTCATTTGATCAAATGTTTACGGGTTTATTTACAGTTTGGTTTATACGAGGTGTTCGTTTACAAAAAGGCCGAAACACAAAATATGTATTCTGGATTTGAATGTTGGAGGTCTATACTCTTCTTTATTTGCACTTCTGTGTGACCCATCCTTCGTGCACAGCAGGCTTCGATTGCCAATAGGCAGATACTTCCATCACTCTCCAAACTGAGAAATATTCGAGGAGGAGGAGTAAGAGCGGCTCAGATTATTTTTACACGGATAAGGATTTAACAATATATATATATATATATATTTTTTTTTTTGAGGTTCCCCTTGTGATGTGCAAAAAAAAATGGAGCAAATTTCCGCCGCCGTTGAAGAATGTGTTTAGCCTATACATATGGGAGGAGATGCCATCAGATAGTTTATATCCCTTTCTAAAGAAACAAATATTTACGTTCCAAGGAAACGTTTTTGTTTTTTACCAACAAAAAAAAAAGACTAAAGGTAAACAGGTGGCAGCCTTACTTGTCTGGTCGTGTTCTGACCTCCAAGCTTCCATGATCTCTTCACTTTCTTCAAGACTTGAACTGAAGCCTTCGAGAAAATTAACATTGGCGCCTATATCCTGTTTGATACCATCATCTACCTCGCAAAGGGAGGGCGAGTCAAACGCTATCAAAGCAATGGCATCAATTTGGGCTGTCGCAATTCCAAGAGCGATGAAAGCTTCCTTAGCTAGCTGTACGAAGTGGTCAAATGTTACTTTATCAATTTCGGCCCTTACTGAGCGGGAAAAATAATTTCTCAGCAGTCGAAGCTGATCAATGGCGAGTACTGAGGATTCTAAATCACATCCACTAGGGCTTATCACAGATGTATGGAACTTATTAGGCGGTAGTCTACGAGGTTTAATGTACAGTTCAGCGAGTGTCCTGTGATGACCTCTGCTATCTGGTATGGCAAAGGATCGTGCGAAGATGGTGGCGTGGACCAGGGAGACGACGGACCACTCTTCATATGACAGGTGTGTAGGAACTATGGTTCTCTCACCCTCTGCCATAAGAAACAACTTTCTCACTTCCAAGGAGTCATCCCACGGTTTAAATCCAAGCCTATTTCCAAAGGTTCTGTCCCACATGGTTCGAAACATTTTACGCAAGGCTTTAGAAAATTCGTTTATCACAATCAGTGCAAACTTGAAGTAGTTCAGCTGCTCGTCACTGAAGTTTGACCAGGGCTCTTTTCCTCGTACTTGTTGAGGTGAAACGTTGGACTTCAAATCGTCCGACCGTTTTCTATGACTCTCTGTGTTTTCTACATTCATTAAAAAAAATAAAAAGGCATAAAACAATTTTGAAATTAATTTTACTTAATTACTCAGCTCTCCAGAATTCTACTTATATCCAATTTTACTTCTTTCTGTGTAGCTCTGGTTAATTTCTTAGGCTCTCACAATGCGATTCTCACTGGATACTTCTCACTGAATTATGCTGCTAAACACTCACTTCAACAACAAAAACCTGTTTCTACTTTTCTCCACACTGTCTACATTCTTCTAGTTTACCAAATACGCTCTAAATTACACGCTTATACATTCACTATTGATAAGCATTGGTTAGCGTGCTAGCTGACTGACCTTGGGATACCAAATATTTGTTGTTAGAACACTAAACCAAACGCTTTCACGAGACTTTTCAAATGAACTACAGAGTACTTGATCATTATGTCTCAATTCAACTGAATCAACCTCTGAATGCGTTAGCCAAAACAAAAACATGTGTGTGAGTCCATAGCAAGGTCAGCAGACCGACTAGGCACATCAACTTGGAAATTACACAAGGCAGTCACAACTCGGGAACTCACCGCGACAGCTTGAACCTAAACAACTTAGAAATTCGATTTTATACAGTGACTAAATTCTAAACATAAACGAATGACTTAATCATACTAAACTGACTGCATAAACTAACTAAATACTTTATGACATGCTCCCTCTTTTTTCAGTAGTAGTGCAAATATCATTAGTTTTTAATGTTGGAGGTCTATAATCTTTTTTATTTGCGCTGCTGTGTGATCCATCCTTCGTGCACAGCAGGCTTCGGTTGACAGTAGGCAGATATTTCCATCATTCTCTAAACTGAGAAATATTCGATGAGTAAGAGCGGCTCAGATTATTTTTAAACGGATAAGGACTAAACAGTATATATATATATATTTTTTTTTTTTTTTTTTTTGAAGGTTTCACTTGTTACATGTGATGTGCAAAAAAATGGAACAAATTTCCGCCGCCGTTGAAGAATGTGTTTAGCCTATACATATGGCAGGAGATGCCATCAGGTAGTTTGTATCCCTTTACATAAAAACGAATCTTTACGATCCAGGGAAACGTTTCTGTTTTTTACCAACAAAAAAGGAAGAAAAAAAGGTTAACAGGTGGCAGCCTTACTTGTCTGGTCGTGTTCTGGCCTCAAAGTTTCAATGATCTCCCCACTTTCTTCAAGACTTGAACTGAAGCCTTCGAGAAAATTAACATTGGCGCCTATATCCTGTTTGATACCATCTTCTACTTCGCAAACTACTAGGGAGGGCGAGTCAAACGCAATCAAAGCGATGGCATCAATTTGGGCTGTCGCAATTCCAAGAGCGATGAAAGCTTCCTTAGCTAGCTGTACGAAGTGGTCAAATGTTACTTTATCAATTTCGGCCCTTGATGAGTGGGCAAAATAATTTCTCAGCAGTCGAAGCTGATCAATGGCGAGTACTGAGGATTCTAAATCACATCCACTAGGGCTTATCACAGATGTATGGAACTTATTAGGCGGTAGTCTACGAGGTTTCGTGTACAGTTCAGCGAGTGTCCTGTGATGACCTCTGCTATCTGGCATGGCAAAGGATCGTGCGAAGATGATGGCGTGGACCAGGGAGACGACGGACCACTCTTCATATGACAGGTGTGTAGGAACTTTGGTTCTCCCACCCTCTGCAATAAGAAACAACTTTCTCACTTCCAAGGAGTCATCCCACGGTTTAAATCCAATAATATTTCCAAATGTTCTGTCCCACATGGTTCGAAACATTTTACGCAAGGCTTTAGAAAATTCGTTCATCACAATCAGTGCAAACTTGAAGTAGTTCAGCTGCTCGTCACTGAAGTTTGACCAGGGCTCTTTTCCTCGTACTTGTTGAGGTGAAACGTTGGACTTCAAATCGTCCGACCGTTTTCTATGACTCTCTGTGTTTTCTACATTCATTAAAAAAAATAAAAAGGCATAAAACAATTTTGAAATTAATTTTACTTAATTACTCAGCTCTCCAGAATTCTACTTATATCCAATTTTACTTCTTTCTGTGTAGCTCTGGTTAATTTCTTAGGCTCTCACAATGCGATTCTCACTGGATACTTCTCACTGAATTATGCTGCTAAACACTCACTTCAACGACAAAAACCTGTTTCTACTTTTCTGCACACTGTCTACATTCTTCTAGTCTACCAAATATGCTCTAAATTACACGCTTATACATTCACTATTGATAAGCATTGGTTAGCGTGCTATCTGACTGACCTTGGGATACTAAATATTTGTTGTTAGAACACTAAACCAAACGCTTTCACGAGACTTTTCAAATGAACTACAGAGTACTTGATCATTATGTCTCCATTCAACTGAATCAACCTCTGAATGCGTTAGCCAAAACAAAAACATGTGTGTGAGTCCATAGCAAGGTCAGCAGACCGACTAGGCACATCAACTTGGAAGTTACACAAGGCAGTCACAACTCGGGAACTCATCGCGACAGCTTGAACCTAAACAACTTAGAAATTCGATTTTATACAGTGACTAAATTCTAAATATAAACGTATGACTAAATCATACTTAACTGACTGACTGACTACATAAACCATCTAAATACTTCATAACATGCTCTCTCTTTTTTTTTCAGTAGTAGTGCATGTGTCTTAAGTTCAACGTTTTGCTGAAATGACATCTTAGGAAAGAATGCTTTGCTGAGTATGGTACCTTTAGGGGACGACTTCAAAGGAAGGGTTGGATTTATGTTAAACATTTCTATCCTAGTCAAGTACTGGAAGACCCTTCAAGTTTGAGTGACAAAAAGAAAATTTGCGGAACGTCTTCATTTCTGTTGCGAATTTCCTCCAATTTAGTCGTTGAGCACAAAGAGGTTAGCAAAACAGTTATCGATATGCGCTTTGTGCTGTTTGCTGCGAAAAAACGAAATAACACAAGAAAAAGGGCGCTATACATCGTATTTTCCTCTTTTTTTCCCCTTTAGAATCGTCTTGAAGACAATTCCGAACGACAGAGAACGAAGAAACTGTAGCAAGAGCGCAGGCCCCCTCCACCCAAACATTTCACTCGCTGGTAGTGGAGGAATGCTCTTGCCCAGTCTTCCTCATCATTTCAGTGGAAAAATGCATGCCACAATTGGCGTTCAGAACTTATTTTCAGGTAATCTTTTAGCATAACAATGAGCCTTTTGTGACAAATTTTCATATCTGATGCTACATATTTATTACCACGAAGTGTAAAGATGGTCTGCGGATATTAACTTACTCGGATTTTCTTGTGTTGCCTCAATGGCTGTAACGATTTCCTGCCAATTGATGGCGTCGAACTTCTCCTCATCTGTTCTCTCACTTTCAGAGTATCTACCATTTGACAATTAAAACACCGTCATTTAGAAGAATTCAGTTGCTACTGGAGCTTTAGGCATTGGAGAATAACAATATCCTTAGTAGTAAATGCATGATAATATGCAGGGAAAAACTCTCAGTTTGGACTGGCTACCAGAAAGTACTACAGTTCTCAACAAATTTGTAAAACGAGTGCAAATTACAATTGGTGCATGCTCAAAGCGAATATGAGTTAGTACCAGCTTGATTTGAGCAATAGGGTGATTTAGCAAGAGGATGGGAACGTCAGTTGACAACGGCGCGCGTAGCAAAAACACCAGTAAGAAATTAGATCGAGAACGTAGTTCCGTTGTGTTTCATACGTGACGTAGCAGTCATTGAAATGAGACGTCAACGTTATATTTGTTCTTGAATATCCTAACTTGGCTCTTTAAAGATCACCATCACCTTTGAGTTTACGATTTCACAGAGCACTTTAAGGACAACGAACTTGTCTCCTCTGAGGGTTGTGTAACATGCGAGTATAGGGGATAATTATGGATACGGCAAGCAAAATGTTAACATGAATCCTTTTGTACGACTAAACTTCGAAAACTGATTCCATTCCGGTTGTCTCGCTTCTGTTGATTCATCTATCAAATTTTAGAGACCACTGAATAACTTTTCTGCGATTTGTGTTGCTGTTATTTCGCTTCGTGCCACTGGATTACAGACCAAATTGGACTCCACTTAGTCCTATTACATTACTAATAGCGAAGCATTTTTCTAAGTCAGAATATACAAACTAAATTCGGTTCAGTTGTTGGCTTGAATCTACATGGGCAAACCTGTTAGCCTCTTATGCTAGGCCTACGTGTACTACACTTTCAACTTGTCTTACCTTTTGGTCACATCTTCCAAGTATTCGGCGATTTCATTGTGGCCACGTGCTCTCGCCACATATTCTGGTAAAAGCGGTCTTCCTTTGTACGAATCAAACGCTATTCGTCCAGCGGGCAGGTCAAAGATAAGTCGAATAAACCAAACAGCGTTTACTTTGGCTGCTGCGTAGATGAACTTTTGTAAGAGCTGAAGTGACAATGAAGATTTTTCCCAACCGGAAGGCCCTGCAATCGTCAAGAAAATGAAAAGTCTATGATTTTCAAGAAATAGAGACATATTATCGGAGAGATCTTATTGTGTCCACGTTTAGACATTTTTTGGTTTATTATTTATTAGAGAAGGCAGATCTGCCAACACTACTAAATAGTCGCTTACAGGATCTGTGCATCCTTATGTATAAAGTAAAGCATAAACTGTGCCCTGCATATATAAGTAACATCTTTAAAGAACCAAATAGTAATTACAATCTGCGGCAAGCAGATTTCTCTATACCTAGGTATGAGACAGTCACCTATGGCAAGCACTCTATTAGATATTTAGGGCCTAGGCTATGGACAAAACTACCCAAGAGTATCAGGGACGTCACAACCCTAACGTCGTTTAAAAGCAAGATACGCCAACTCAATATAAGTGAACTTTTAGATGATGGCTGCGCAGGCTGTAGCCTTTGTTCCTTTTGACTTCTGTGTATTTTTACTATAAATCTCTTAATTAGTTAACTATAGATATTTTACCTACTACTGTATATAGTTTTTTTTTAGTTTGTATATTCTCCCCTAATTGGTGTCCCCAAATTAGTAAGGGATTTGTTCCCTGGCTAGACGGTTTTTGACACTTTAATAAAGTTGTTTCTATTCTATTCTATTCTATTCTATTATTATCTTGGCTCTATATTATCATCAGTCAATATTTTTTTATCTGGTTTAAACGATAGTGAAAAATGTTGCAAAAATACTTTTTGACGACAATCTTCTTAACTTCACTAAGGTTTAAAATCCGTTTTTCTGGCTTTCAACTTTTTGGCTTGTTTACGGAATTGAGGACATTGAAGTGAAAGGAATTCATACGAAATGAAAATAAAAAAAGAAATGAACTACAAACTGAGAGAATGCGATAAAAAATACCTACCACCATTCGCATGATTTTCTGCGTCAGAAGTACCTCCTTCAGAATGTTCGTTCAGGCGTGGAATGGCAACCTGAATGAATTTCATCATCGTTTTTGGGCAACTGATTGCTTGTTTCAACGTCTCCTCTATCAACTCTATGTCCGCAACTTTTGTCTCCTCCAAACACTTTTCCGGATAATGCGAGGAGACTGCCACTTTGAAAGCACCTTCTGTTGATGAGCTTGCAACATTTAGGTATTAAGATGCTCAAATCATAGCTACCTATCTTTTAATAACATACAAGGTAAGTAATCTATAAGGTAAATTTGGAAAACTTTTATCAGCCTTTCGGCCACAAAATTTATAGTTTAGAGAGTACAATGACTAGAAAATAACTGCGCTAACTATTCATTTGTGGTGAGAGGCGAAGAAGCCGTAGCAAGAGCGCAAGGCCCCCTCCACCCATCCATTTCACTTGCTGATAGTAGAGGAATGCTCTTGCCCAGTGTTCCCCATCGTTTCAGTGGGAAAAGGCATGCCACAATTGGCATTCATAACGTATTTTCAGGTAATCTTTTCAGATAGCAATGAGCGTTTTGTTAAAAATTTTCATGTCTGATGCTACATATTTATTACCACAAAGTGTAAAGATGGTCTGCGGATATTAACTTACTCGGATTTTCTTGTTTTGCCTCAATGGCTGTAACGATTTCCTGCCAATTGATGGCGCGTAACTTCTCCTCATCTGTTCTCTCACTTTCAGAGTATCTGCTATTTGACAATTAAAGCATCGTGATTTAGAAGAATTCAGTTACTACCGGAGCTCTAGGCACTGGAGCACAACTTATATCCTTAGTAGAGGATGCACGATAGTATGCAGGGGAAAAACTCTCAGTTCGGACTGGCTACCAGAAAGTACTGCAGTTCTCAACAAATTTGTAACACGAGTGCGAATTACAAAGGGTGCAGCTAAAGGCCAATATCAGTTAGCACCAGCCTGGCAATGGAGTGATTTAGCAAGAGAACGGGTACGTCTGTTGACGACAGCGCGCGCAGCAAAAATGCTGATAAGAAACTGGGTCGAGAATGCCGTCGCGTTGTGTTGAAAAGTGATTTAGCAGTCGTTACAACGAGAATCCTCACCTCGGCATTTTAAAGATCATCATCACCTTTGAATTTTCGGTTTTATAGACCACTCTAAGGACATCTAAATTATCTTCTTTGAGAGTTATGTAACGAGTGCAAACAGAGGATAGTTATAGATACGGCAAGTAAGTTGTTAACATGAATCCACATGGGCGATTAAATTTTGAAATTATTCCATTTCAGTTTAGTCTCGAGTCTACTGATTCATCAATCAAATTTTGTCAAACTAGTCACCAACGAAACGGCTAGACTTAGGAATAATACTTCGTTCCTGTTTCATTTTTTTTTGGTTTAATTTAATTTTTTTTAAACGAATGAAGTCGTTCAAGACTGAATCAAATTAACAGATTTAGAAAGCCGTGCCGAAATCAAGTTTATTGTCATTTTATTTCGTAGCGAGGGTATGACCTTCTTGTCTTAGTTTCCACCGGCGCTGATAAAACATTTCAAATATAAAAAAGTGCAAACCCGAGCTATTCTCAATATTTTTCCATCTCTGACTTCAAGTCTTAGAATTCAATCACGGTAAAAATGACAATAACAACAAATAACACTGAATAATACAGTAGGTAAGCGTTGTGATATTTCATTTTGATCAACTTCGACATGAAGCAAGTTTAATTTATTGATGAATGGATTCATGATAAAATTAACAGTAACTAAACGACAATGTTATATTTTTTTCATGAATATCCTGACCTCGGCTCTTTAAAGATCGCCATCACCTTTAAATTTTCGGTTTCACATATCACTTTAAGGACAACGAAGTTATCTTCCTCAGAGCGAAGGGCTAACGCTCGAAACGTCAGCTTTTTTACTCTTTACGGTGGCTAATTTACGTTTTCAACCCAGTTGTTAACACAAACAAGATGTTAACATGAGTCCTTCTGTCCAATTAATTTTTCAAAATTTATTCCATTCCAGTTAAATATCGTTTCTGTTGATTCATCTATCAAATTTTAGAGCCCATTGAATAATTTTTTCTGCGATTTGTGTCTCTTTTATTTCGTTTTGAGCCACTAGATTTCAGCACAACTCGTTTTTCTTCATAATTTTACAAAGTATAATTTGGAAGTCGTCGTCGTCCTATTCCCTTGTTTGCCGGATATTTCTCCTTATTCATGGCAGTACATCGCTCTTAAGCTTCACCTTCTTAAAGTTATAATGCATTTTAAACGGAATTTTGGGCGAAACCATAAAGGAAACAAGAAGTCGAAATAGAGTCGTGTCCCGACTACGCGCGCGCTCTCTCTCGTTCTCAAATGACGTTTCCGTCCTCTTGCTAAATCACTCTGATAGTAAGACAAAGTACATGTCATACGTGTGTAATCGAATAGTACCCGTCATGTGCGTGCACTGCTGCTTCGCTTTTCGTTTTTCACGAGAACGTATAATCGATGGCTAGTTCATTTTTCAAATTTTGTCGTAGCTTTTATTTATTGGTAACAGGACCCTATGCCGTCCAGTTCTGTCTGTCATCATACTCGTAATAAGGACTGAATTTGGACTCCCGCATCGCGGTCGACCGATTTTGTTCATTACTTGTATGATCACAGACTGAATTGGACTCCACTCAGTCCTATTATATTACTAATAGCGAAGCATTTTTCTAAGTCAGAATATACAAACTAAATTCGGTTCAGTTGTTGGCTTGAATCTATGGACAAACCTGTTAGTCTCTTGTGCTAGGCCTCCATGTACTACACTTTCAACTTGTCTTACCTTTTGGTCACATCCTCCAAGTATTCGGCGATTTCATTGTGGCCACGTGCTCTCGCCACATATTCTGGTAAAAGCGGTCTTCCTTTATACGAATCAAATACTATTCTTCCGGCGGGCAGCTCAAAGATAAGTCGAATAAACCAAACAGCGTTTACTTTGGCTGCTACGTAGATAAACCTTTGTAGGAGCTGAACTGACAATAAAGATGTTTCCGAACTATAAGGCCCTACAATCGTTAAGAAAATGGAAAAACATTTCTCTATGATTTTCAAAGAACAAAGACAAATCATGGGAGAGATCTTATTGTGTCCATGTTTAGGCTTTTTTTTGTTTCATTCTTTTGGTTCTATTATCATCAATAACTCCTTTCTTCCTCTTTTTTCAACTCTAGTGAAACATTTTTTTCAAAATACTGTTCAACAACAATCTTCTTACCTTAAATAAGGTTTGATATCTTTTTCTAGCTTTCAACCTTTTGCTTTATTTACAGGGTTAAGGACAATAGAGTTAAAGGGATAAAGAGGAAATAATAAAGAAAGAAAAAAATGAAATACAAACTGAGAGGATAAGATAACAAATACCTACCGCCATTCGTATGATTTTCTACGTCGCCAGTACCTCCTTCAGAATGTACATTCAGGCATAGAATGGCAACCTGAATGAATTTCAGCATCGTGTTTGGGCAACTGATTGCTTGTTTCAACGTCTCCTCTATCAACTCTATGTCCGCAACTTTTGTTTCCTCCAAACACTTTTCTCGATTATTCGAGGAGACTGCTACTTTAAAAACACCTTCTGTTGATGAGTCTGCAACATTTAGGTATTAAAATACTCAAATCATAGCTACCTATTTTTTAATAACATACAAGGTAAGTAATCTGTGAGGTGAGTTTGAAAAACTTATATGGCCCTTTCGGCCACAAAATTTAAAGTTTAGAGAGTACAGTGATTGGAAAATTAATTGAGCTTACTATTCATACGTGATGAGGTACGAAGAAGCTGTAGCAAGAGCGCAAGGCCCCCTTCACCTATCCATTTTATCTGTTGGTAGTTGAGGAATACTCTTGCCTAGTATTCCTCATCATTACAGTGGAAAAACGCATGCCATAATTGGCGTTCGAAAATGATTTTCCAGGAAATCTTTTAAGATAACCCTGAGCCTTTTGTCACAAATTTTCATGTCTGATGCTACACATTTATTACTACAAAGTGTAAATAATTAACTTACTCGGACTTTCTTGTGTTGCCTGAATGGCTGTAACGATTTCCTGCCAATTGATGGCGTTGAGCTTCTCCTCATCTGTTCTCTCACTTTCAGAATATCTGCCATTTGACATTTATAACACCGTGATTTAGAAGAATTCAGTTGCTACAGGAGCTCTGGCCACTGAAGCATCACAATATCATTAGGTGGAAATGCACAATAATATGCAAGGAGAAATTCTTAGTTCGGACTGGCCAGTAGAAAAAACTGCAGTTCTCAACAAATTTGGAACACAAGTGTAAATTACAAATGGTGCATGCTCAAAGCCAATGTGAGTTAGTACCAGCCTGACAATGGGGTGATTTCAAAAGGACGGGTACGTCTGTTGACAACGGAGTGCGCAGAAAAAGCACTAATAAAAAACTGGATGGCTCCGTCGTGTTTCATGTGTGACGTACCAGTCGTTGTAAGTAAACGTCAATGTTATATTTTTTCTTCAATATCCTGACCTCGGCTCTTTAAAGATTGCCATCACCTTTAAATTTTCGGTGTCACATATCACTTTAAGGACACGAAGTTATCTCCTTTCGGAGTTATGCAACAAGCGAGAACAGAGGATAATTATAGATACGGCAAGCAAGATATTAACATGAATCCTTTTGTACAATTCGACTTTTTAAGATTTATTTCATTCCAGTAAACTATCGTTTCTGTTGATTCATCTATCAAATTTTAGAGCCCATTGAATAATTTTTTCTGCCATTTGTGTCTCTGTTATTTCGTTTTGAGCCACTAAATTTCAGCACTACTTGTTTTTCTTCATAATTTTACAAAATATAATTTGGAAATCGTCGTCGTTTTATTTTCTTCTTTGCCGGATATTTCTCTTTATTCATGACAGTACATCTCTTTTCAGCTCCACCTTCTTAGAGTTGCAATGTATTTTGAACGGACTTTTGGCGAAACCATGAAGGAACCAAGAAGTCGAAATAAAGTCGTGTCCAGACTATCCGCGCGCTCCCTCGTTCTCAAATAACGTTCTCATCCTCTTGCTAAATCACTCTGATAGTAAGACAAAGTACTCGTCATGGGTTTGTAATCGAATACTACCCGTCATGTGTGCGCACTGCTGCCTCGCTTTTCGCCGGGTTAATTGTCGTTTTTCATGAAAACGTATAAATTTATTGTATCCGTCTTTTTAATTTTTAAATTCTTTTCATCGTATAAACAGATGGAATGTTTAAGTAGCTCTCGTTTACCTTTAAAGAAACATTTTCCGCTTCCTCTGTTATACTGTTCAAATATGGTAGATTCAGAGAACAATGGAACCTCACACCAGTTCATATTTAAGCAAGTACTTCGTAAAGCTTTTTCGATTACAAAGACGACGGCGTGCCGATTACATAGACGACGGCGTGCTGATTACACACGACGGCGTGCTGATTACACACGACGGCGTGCCGATCACTCGTTTAGCTTTTACTCTGGCGTGATTTATGTTAGAGTTCTCTTTGAATAAAGTCTACTGTGGAACCAAAACGTTGTCCTATCCTTGACGTCCATATAAGCTCGCTCGAAGTAGATCTCCGTGTATCAGGAAATCGTGACGAGTTTCTGTTCTCGCAAGCCGAGTGGTCTCTGCCGAGTTAATTTCCCCCGTTTTCTACATTTCCCGCGAAGTCCAATTTAGTGTGCGAAAACCTATCGTCACACCTTTAAATTTTCGGTGTCACATATTACTTTAAGGACAACTAAGTTGTCTCCTTTCAGAGTTATGCAACAAGCGAGAACAGAGGATAACTATAGACACGGCAAGCAAGATTATAACATGAATCCTTTTGTACGATTAATCTTTTTAAAGTTTATTCCATCCCAATAATGTCTCGTTTCTGTTGATTCATCTATCAAATTTTAGAGCCCAATGAATAATTTTTCTGCCATTTGTGTCGCTGTTATTTCGTTTTGAACCACCAGATTTCAGCACTACTTGTTTTTCTTCATAATTTTACGAAGTAAAATTTGGAAATCGTCGTCGTTTTATTCCCTTGTTTGCCGGATATTTCTCCTTATTTATGACAGTACATCTCTTTTGAGCTTCACCTTCTTGAAGTTGCAATGCATTTTGAACGGACTTTTGGCGAAACCATGAAGGAACCAAGAAGTCGAAACAGAGTCGTGTCCTGACTATCCGCGCGCTCTCCCGTACTCAAATAACCTTCCCAACTTTTTGCACTTGCTTAATCACTCTGATAGTAAATAGTGTGCGTCATGCGTGTGTAATCGAATAGTACCCGTTATTTGTGCGCACTGCTGCTTCGCTTTTCGCCGAGTTACCTGTCGTTTTTGGTGAAAACGTATAATCGATGGCTGATTCATTTTTCAAATCTTGTCATAGCTTTGACTTATTGGTAACAGGACTTTATGCCCTCCAGTTCTGTTTGCCATCATACTCGTAATAAGGACGTAATAAGCATTTTTCTAAGTCAGAATATTCAAACTAAATTCGGTTCAGTTGTTGGCTTGAATCTACATGGACAAACCTGTTAGCCTCTTATGCTAGGCCTCCGTGTACTACACTTTCAACTTGTCTTACCTTTTGGTCACATCCTCCAAGTATTCGGCGATTTCATTGTGGCCACGTGCTCTCGCGACATATTCTGGTAAAAGCGGTCTTCCTTTGTACGAATCAAATACTATTCTTCCGGCGGGCAGCTCAAAGATAAGTCGAATAAACCAAACAGCGTTTACTTTCGCTGCTACGTAGATAAACCTTTGTAGGAGCTGAACTGACAATAAAGATGTTTCCGAACCATAAGGCCCTACAATCGTTAAGAAAATGGAAAAACATTTCTCTATGATTTTCAAAGAACAAAGACAAATCATGGGAGAGATCTTATTGTGTCCATGTATAGGCTTTTTTTTGTTTCATTCTTTTGGTTCTATTATCATCAATAACTCCTTTCTTCCTCTTGTTTAAACTATAGTGAAACATTTTTTTCAAAATACTGTTCAACAACAATCTTCTTACCTTAAATAAGGTTTGATATCTTTTTTTCTAGCTTTCAACCTTTTGCTTTATTTACAGGGTTAAGGACAATAGAGTTAAAGGGATAAAGAGGAAATAATAAAGAAAGAAAAAAATGAAATACAAACTGAGAGGATAAGATAACAAATACCTACCGCCATTCGTATGATTTTCTGCGTCGCGAGTACCTCCTTCAGAATGTACATTCAAGTATAGAATGGCAACCTGAATGAATTTTAGCATCGTTTTTGGGCAACTGATTGCTTGTTTCATTGTCTCCTCTATCAACTCTATGTCCGCAACTTTTGTTTCCTCCAAACACTTTTCTCGATTATTCGAGGAGACTGCTACTTTAAAAACACCTTCTGTTGATGAGTCTGCAACATTTAGGTATTAAAATGCTCAAATCATAGCTACCTATTTTTTAATAACATACAAGGTAAGTAATCTGTGAGGTGAGTTTGGAAAAATTATATGGCCCTTTCGGCCACAAAATTTAAAGTTTACAGAGTACAATGATTGGAAAATAATTGTGCTAACTATTCATTTGTGATGAGGGGCGAAGAAGCTGTAGCAAGAGTGCAAGGCCCCCTTCACCCATCCATTTTATCTGTTGGTAGTTGAGTAATACTCTTGCCTAGTATTCCTCATCATTTCAGTGAAGAAAACGCATGCCATAATTGGCGTTCGAAAATGATTTTCCAGGAAATCTTTTAAGATAACCCTGAGCCTTTTGTCACAAATTTTCAGGTCTGATGCTACATATTTATTACTACAAAGTGAAAATAATTAACTTACTCGGACTTTCTTGTGTTGCCTCAATGGCTGTAGCGATTTCCTGCCAATTGATGGCGTTGAGCTTCTCCTTGTCTGTTCTCTCACTTTCAGAATATCTGCCATTTGACATTTAAAACACCGTGATTTAGAAGAATTCAGTTGCTACAGGAGCTCTGGCCACTGGAGTAAAACAATATCCGTAGTAGAAAATGCACGCTAATATGCAGTAAAAAACTCTCAGTTCGGACTGGCCAGTAGAAAGTACTATTGTTCTCAACAAATTTGGAACACGAGTGCAAATTACAAATGGTGCATACTCAAAGCGAATGTGAGTTAAAACCAACCTGATTTGAGCGCGTGCAGCAAAAACACAAAAAGAAACTGGGTCGCTCCACTGTGTTTCATACGTGACGCACCAGTCGTAACTAAACGTCAATGTTATATTTTTTTTTCTTCAATATCCTAACCTCGGCTCTATAAAGATCGCCATCACCTTTAAATTTTCGGTTTCACATATTACTTTAAGGACAACGAAGTTATTTCCTTTGACACAACAAGCGAGAACAGAGGAAAACTATAGATACGACAAGCAAGATGTTAACATGAATTCTTTTGTAAGATTAAACTTCTGAAATTTATTCCATTTCAGTCAATTCTCGTTTCTGTTGATTCATCTATCAAATTTTAGAGCCCAATGAATAATTTTTTTCTTCCATTTGTGTCGCTGTTATTTCATTTCGAGCCACTATATTTCAGCACCACTTCTTTTTCCTTCATAATTTTACAAAGTATAATTTGGAAATCGTCGTCGTTTTATTCCCTTCTTTGCCGGATATTTCTCCTTATTCATGACAGTACATCTCTTTTGAGCTTCACCTTCTTGAAGTTGCAATGCATTTTAAACGGACTTTTGGCGAAACCATGAAGGAATCAAGAAGTCGAAATAGAGTCGTGTCCTGACTACCCGCGCGCTCTCTCGTTATCAAATGACGTTTCCGTCCTCTTGCTAATTCTCTCTGATAGTAAGACAAAGTACGCGTCATGAATATGTAATCGAAGAGCGCCTGTCATGTGGGTGCACTGCTGCCTCACTTTTCGCCGAGTTAACTGTCGTTTTTCACGAAAACGTATAATCGATGGCTACTTCATTTTTCAAATTTCGTCATAGCTTTGACTTATTGGTAACAGGACTTTAGGCCATCCAGTTCTGTCTGTCATCATACTCGTAATAAGGACTGAATTCGGACTCCCGCATCGCGGTCGACCGATTTTGTTAATTACTTCTGTGATCACAGACTGAATTGGACTCCACTCAGTCCTATTATATTACTAATAGCGAAGCATTTTTCTAAGTCAGAATATTCAAACTAAATTCGGTTAAGTTGTTGGCTTGAATCTACATGGACAAACCTGTTAGCCTCTTATGCTAGGCCTCTGTGTACTACACTTTCAACTTGTCTTACCTTTTGGTCACATCCTCCAAGTATTCGGCGATTTCATTGTGGCCACGTGCTCTCGCCACATATTCTGGTAAAAGCGGTCTTCCTTTGTACGAATCAAATACTATTCTTCCGGCGGGCAGCTCAAAGATAAGTCGAATAAACCAAACAGCGTTTACTTTCGCTGCTACGTAGATAAACCTTTGTAGGAGCTGAACTGACAATAAAGATGTTTCCGAACCATAAGGCCCTACAATCGTTAAGAAAATGGAAAAACATTTCTCTATGATTTTCAAAGAACAAAGACAAATCATGGGAGAGATCTTATTGTGTCCATGTTTAGGCCTTTTTTTTTGTTTCATTCTTTTGGTTCTATTATCATCAATAACTCCTTTCTTCCTCTTGTTTAAACTATAGTGAAACATTTTTTTCAAAATACTGTTCAACAACAATCTTCTTACCTTAAATAAGGTTTGATATCTTTTTCTAGCTTTCAACCTTTTGCTTTATTTACAGGGTTAAGGACAATAGAGTTAAAGGGATAAAGAGGAAATAATAAAGAAAGAAAAAAATGAAATACAAACTGAGAGGATAAGATAACAAATACCTACCGCCATTCGTATGATTTTCTGCGTCGCGAGTACCTCCTTCAGAATGTACATTCGGGCATAGAATGGCAACCTGAATAAATTTTAGCATCGTTTTTGGGCAACTGATTGCTTGTTTCAACGTCTCCTCTATCAACTCTATGTCCACAACTTTTGTTTCATCCAAACACTTTTCTCGATTATTCGAGGAGACTGCTACTTTAAAAACACCTTCTGTTGATGAGTCTGCAACATTTAGGTATGAAAATGCTCAAATCATAGCTACCTATTTTTTAATAACATACAAGGTAAGTAATCTGTGAGGTGAGTTTGGAAAAATTATATGGCCCTATTTGCCACAAAATTTAAAGTTTAGAGAGTACAATGAATGGAAAATAATTGAGCTTACTATTCATACGTGATGAGGTACGAAGAAGCTGTAGCAAGAGCGCAAGGCCCCCTTCACCCATCCATTTTATCTGTTGCTAGTTGAGGAATACTCTTGCCTAGTATTCCTCATCATTTCAGTGGAAAAACGCATGCCATAATTGGCGTTCGAAAATGATTTTCCAGGAAATCTTTTAAGATAACCCTGAGCCTTTTGTCACAAATTTTCATGTCTGATGCTACATATTTATTACTACAAAGTGTAAATAATTAACTTACTCGGACTTGCTTGTGTTGCCTGAATGGCTGTAACGATTTCCTGCCAATTGATGGCGTTGAGCTTCTCCTTGTCTGTTCTCTCACTTTCAGAGTATCTGCCATTTGACATTTAAAACACCGTGATTTAGAAGAATTCAGTTGCTGCAGGAGCTCTGGCCACTGGAGCAAAACAATATCCGTAGCAGAAAATGCACGCTAATATGCAGTAAAAAAAACTCTCAGTTCGGACTGGCCAGTAGAAAAAACTGCAGTTCTCAACAAATTTGGAACACAAGTGTAAATTACAAATGGTGCATGCTCAAAGCCAATGTGAGTTAGTACCAGCCTGACAATGGGGTGATTTCAAAAGGACGGGTACGTCTCTTGAAAACGGAGTGCGCAGAAAAAGCACTAATAAAAAACTGGATGGCTCCTTTGTGTTTCCTGTGTGACGTACCAGTCGTTGTAAATAAACGTCAATGTTATATTTTTTCTTCAATATCCTGACCTCGGCTCTTTAAAGATTGCCATCACCTTTAAATTTTCGGTGTCACATATCACTTTAAGGACACGAAGTTATCTCCTTTCGGAGTTATGCAACAAGCGAGAACAGAGGATAATTATAGATTCGGCAAGCAAGATGTTAACATGAATCCTTTTGTACAATTCGACTTTTTAAGATTTATTCCATTCCAGTAAACTATCGTTTCTGTTGATTCATCTATCAAATTTTAGAGCCCATTGAATAATTTTTTCTGCCATTTGTGTCTCTGTTATTTCGTTTTGAGCCACCAGATTTCAGCACTACTTGTTTTTCTTCATAATTTTACAAAGTTTAATTTGGAAATCGTCGTCGTTTTATTTTCTTCTTTGCCGGATATTTCTCTTTATTCATGACCGTACATCTCTTTTCAGCTCCACCTTTTTAGAGTTGCAATGTATTTTGAACAGACTTTGAGCGAAACCATGAAGGAACCAAGAAGTCGAAATAGAGTCGTGTCCAGACTATCCGCGCGCTCCCTCGTTCTCAAATGACGTTCCCATCCTCTTGCTAAATCACTCTGATAGTAAGACAAAGTACTCGTCATGGGTTTGTAATCGAATACTACCCGTCATGTGTGCGCACTGCTGCCTCGCTTTTCGCCGGGTTAATTGTCGTTTTTCATGAAAACGTATAATTTATTGTATCCGTCTTTTTAATTTTGAAATTCTTTTTTTTCGTATAAACAGATGGAATGTTTAAGTAGCTCTCGTTTAACTTTAAAGAGACATTTTCCGCTTCCTCTGTTATACTGTTCAAATATGATAGATTCAGAGAACAATGGAACCTCACACCAGTTCATATTTAAGCAAGTACTTCGTAAAGCTTTTTCGATTACAAAGACGACGGCGTGCCGATTACATAGACGACGGCGTGCTGATTACACACGACGGCGTGCCGATCACTCGTTTAGCTTTTACTCTGGCGTGATTTATGTTAGAGTTCTCTTCGAATAAAGTCTACTGTGGAACCAAAACGTTGTCTTATCCTTGACGTCCGTATAAGCTCACTCGAAGTAGATCTCCGTGTATCAGGAAATCGTGACGAGTTTCTGTTCTCGCAAGCCGAGTGGTCTCTACCGAGTTAATTTCCCCCGTTTTCTACATTTCCCGCGATGTCCAATTTAGTGTGCGAAAACCTATCGTCACACCTTTAAATTTTCGGTGTCACATATTACTTTAAGGACAACTAAGTTGTCTCCTTTCAGAGTTATGCAACAAGCGAGAACAGAGGATAATTATAGATACGACAAGCAAGATTCTAATATGAATCCTTTTGTACGATTAATCTTTTTAAAGTTTATTCCATCCCAATAATGTCTCGTTTCTGTTGATTCATCTATCAAATTTTAGAGCCCAATGAATAATTTTTCTGCCATTTGTGTCGCTGTTATTTCGTTTTGAGCCACCAGATTTCAGCACTACTTGTTTTTCTTCATAATTTTACAAAGTAGAATTTGGAAATCGTCGTCGTTTTATTCCCTTGTTTGCCGGATATTTCTCCTTATTCATGCCAAGACATCTCTTTTGAGTTTCACTTTCTTAGAGTTGCAATGCATTTTAAACGAACTTTTGACGAAATCATGAAGGAACCTAGAAGTCGAAACAGAGTCGTGTCCTGACTATCCGCGTGCTCTGCCGTACTCAAATAACCTTCCCAACTTTTTGCACTTGCTAAATCACTCTGATAGTAAAACAAAGTACGCGTCATGCGTGTGTAATCGAATAGTACCCGTCATTTGTGCGCACTGCTGCCTCGCTTTTCGCCGAGTTACCTGTCGTTTTTGGTGAAAACGTATAATCGATGGCTGATTCATTTTTCAAATCTTGTCATAGCTTTGATTTATTGGTAACAGGACTTTATACCGTCCAGTTCTGTTTGCCATCATACTCGTAATAAGGACTGAACTCGGACTCCCGTATCGTGGTCGACCGATTTCGTTAATTACTTGTATGAATACAGACCGAATTAGACTCCACTCAGTCCTATTGCATTACTAAAAGTGAAGCATTTTTCTAAGTCAGAATATTCAAACTAAATTCGGTTTAGTTGTTGGCTTGAATCTACATGGACAAACCTGTTAGCCTCTTATGCTAGGCCTCCATGTACTGCACTATCAACTTGTCTTACCTTTTGGTCACATCCTCCAAGTATTCGGCGATTTCATTGTGGCCACGTGCTCTCGCCACATATTCTGGTAAAAGCGGTCTTCCTTTGTACGAATCAAATACTATTCTTCCGGCGGGCAGCTCAAAGATAAGTCGAATAAACCAAACAGCGTTTACTTTCGCTGCTACGTAGATAAACCTTTGTAGGAGCTGAACTGACAATAAAGATGTTTCCGAACCATAAGGCCCTACAATCATTAAGAAAATGGAAAAACCTTTATCTATGATTATCAAAGAAAAAAGACAAATCATGGGAGAGATCTTATTGTGTCCATGTTTAGGCATTTTTTTGTTTCATTCTTTTGGTTCTATTATCATCAATAACTCCTTTCTTCCTCTTGTTTAAAGTATAGTGAAACATTTTTTTCAAAATACTGTTCAACAACAATCTTCTTACCTTAAATAAATTTTGATATCTTTTTTCTAGCTTTCAACCTTTTGCTTTATTTACAGGGTTAAGGACAATAGAGTTAAAGTGATAAAGAGGAAATAATAGAGAAAGAAAAAAATTGAAATACAAACTGAGAGGATAAGATAACAAATACCTACCGCCATTGGTATGATTTTCTGCGTCGCAAGTACCTCCTTCAGAATGTACATTCAAGCATAGAATGGTAACCTGAATGAATTTTAGCATCGTTTTTGGGCAACTGATTGCTTGTTTCAACGCCTCCTCTTTGAAATCTATGTCCGCAAGTTTTGTCTCCTTCAAACACTTTTCTGGATTATGCGAGGAGACTGCTACTTTAAAAACACCTTCTGTTGATGAGTCTGCAACATTTAGGTATTAAAATACTCAAGTTATAGCTACCTATCTTTTAATAACGTAAAAGGTAAGTAATCTGTGAGGTGAGTTTGGAAAACTTACATGGCCCTTTTGGCCACAAAATTTAAAGTTTAGAGAGTACAATGATTGGAAAATAATTGTGCTAACTATTCATTTGTGATGAGGGGCGAAGAAGCTGTAGCAAGAGTGCAAGGCCCCCTCCACCCATCCATTTTATCTGTTGGTAGTTGAGGAATACTCTTGCCTAGTATTCCTCATCATTTCATTGAAGAAAACGCATGCCATAATTGGCGTTCGAAACTGAATTTCAGGTAATCTTTTAAGTAACAGTGAGCCTTTTGTCAAATTTTCATATCTGATGGTCTGCGGATATTAACTTACTCGGACTTTCTTGTGTTGCTTCAATGGCTGAAACGATTTCCTGCCAATTGATGGCGTTGAGCTTCTCCTTGTCTGTTCTCTCACTTTCAGAGTATCTGCCATTTGACATTTAAAACACCGTGATTTGAAGAATTTAGTTGTTACAGGAGCTCTGGCCACTAGAGCATAACTATATCCTTAGCAGAAAATGTGTGATAATACGCAGGGAAAAACTCTTAGTTCGGACTGGCCAGTAGAAAGTACTGCAGTTCTCAACAAATTTGGAACACGAGTGCAAACTACAAATGGTGAATGCTCAAAGCGAATGTGATGTAGCTCCAGCCTGGAAATGGGGTGATTTAGCAAGAGGATGGTTAGGTCTGTTGACAACGGCGCGCGCAGCAAAAAACACTAATAAAAAACTGGATCGCTCCTTCGTGTTTCATACGTGACGCACCAGTCGTTGTGACTAGACGTCAATGTTATACTTTTTCTTGAATATCCTAACCTCGGCTCTTTAAAGATCGCCATCGCTTTTAAATTGTCGGTTTCACATATCACTTTAAGGACAACGAAGTTAACTCCTTTGACACAAAAAGCGAGAACAGAGAATAATTATAGATACGGCAAGCAAGATGGTAACATGAATCCTTCTGTTTAATTAAACTTCTAAAAATTTAGTCCATTCCGTTTTTGTTGATTCATCTATCAAATTTTAGAGCCCATTGAATAATTTTTTCTGCGTTTTGTGTCGCTATTATTTCGTTTGAAGCCACTAGATTTCAGCTCTACTCGTTTTTCTTTATAATTTTACAAAGTGTAATTTGGAAACCGTCGTCGTTTTATTCCTTGTTTGCCGGATATTTCCCCTTATTCATGACAATACACCTCTTTTCAGCTTCACCTCCTTAGAGTTGCAACGCATTTTGAACGGACTTTTGGCGAAACCATGAAGGAAACAAGAAGTCGAAATGGAGTTATATCCTGACTACCCGCGCACTCTCTCGTTCTCAAATGACGTTTCCGTCCTCTTGCTAATTCTCCCTGATAGTAAGACAAAGTACGCGTCATGCGTTCGTAATCGAATAGTGCCTGTCATGTGCACGCACTGCTGCCTCGCTTTTCGCCGAGTTAATTGTCGTTTTTCATGAAAACGTATAATTGATGGCTAGTTCATTTCTCAAGTTTTGTCATAGCTTTGATTTATTGGTAATAGGACTTTATGCCGTCCAGTTCTGTCTTCCATGATACTCGTAATAAGGACTGAACTCGGACTCCCGCATAGCGGTCGACCGGTTTAGTTAATTACTTGTATGATTACAGACCCAATTGGACCCCACTCAGTCCCATTACATTACTAATAGCGAAGCATTTTTCTAAGTCAGAATATTCAAACTAAATTCGATTAAGTTGGTGGCTTGAATCTACGTTGGCAAACCTGTTAGCCTCTTATGCTAGGCCTCCATGTACTACACTTTCAACTTGTCTTACCTTTTGGTCACATCTTCCAAGTATTCGGCGATTTCTTTGTGGCCACGTGCTCTCGCGACATATTCTGGTAAAAGCGGTCTTCCTTTGTATGAATCAAATACTATTCTTCCGGCGGGAAGGTCAAAGATAAGTCGAATAAACCAAACAGCGTTTACTTTGGCTGCTGCGTAGATGAACCTCTGTAGGAGCTGAACTGACAATGAAGATTTTTCCCAACCAGACGGCCCTACAATCGTTAGGGAAGTGAAAAAAATATTTAGCTATGATTTTCAAAGAACAGAGACAAACTATGGGAAAGATTTTATTGTGTCCGTGTTTAGGCATTTTTTTTCATTATTTTGATTCTATTATCATCAATCACTGCTTTCTTCCTCTAGTCTAAACTATAGTCAAAAATGTTCCAAAAAGACTGTTCAACAACTACCTTCTTAGCTTAAATAAGGTTTGATATCTTTTTCTAGCTTTCAACCTTTTGCTTTATTTACAGGGTTAAGGACAATAGAGTTAAAGGGGTAAAGAGGAAATAATAAAGAAAGAAAAAAATGAAATACAAACTGAGAGGATAAGATAACAAATACCTACCGCCATTCGTATGATTTTCTGCGTCGCGAGTACCTCCTTCAGCATGTACAGCCAGGCATGCAATGACAGCCTGAAGGAATTTCAGCATCGTTTTTGGGCAATTGATTGCTTGTTGCAACGCCTCCTCAATCAAGTCTATGTATGAAACTTTTGTCTCCCCCAAACACCTTTCTCGATTTTGTGAGAAGACTGCTACTTTAAAAACACCTTCTGTTGATGAGTCTGCAACATTTACGTATTGAAATTCTCAAATCATAGCTACCTATTCCAAAAACATCCGAGGTAAGTAATCCGTGAGGTGAATTTGGAAAACTTACATCGTCCTTTCGGCTTCAAATTTAATTAACTTCTGCTATCAATTAATCTTAACCTATACCTGTGAGGAAAAGTGACTTTGACCTCAAGTTTTACACTATGTCTTACTTATTTTGTGTTTTAAATTTTACTTTTTAGGAAAGTCCTGGGTTTCAATGATGAATTTTTTTTTTCCCGAGAAGCCCATTTTAAACATTTTAAAATGACATATTGTAGGTGTTATTCCAGTATATATTTGTTGAGATATGAATTAAAAACAATGTGGACAAATTTTTGCGTTTTTTTAACTGGTGTTGTTGGGTTAAAGTATAAAGAGTATAATGATTGGAAGTGGGTTAATTATTCATTTATGAAACTCGTTTTAGGTGGAAGATTTAAACCGGTTAAGAAAATCTGAATTTAACATTTAAAAAAAATAGAGAAGCCTTGACTGTGCACTGTTCTGTTGTAAAACACGCAGGAAGCGGCTAGAGCACGAAAGAAGTGTAGAGAGAAACACGAGATGTCTTGAGTGCTCTAGCCGCTTCCTAAGTGCTCTAGCAGCTTCATAAGCTTCCTTGGCTTCTCTATTTGTTTTATAATAAAAAATCCGTTAAATCCCCATGAATTACTTTCAATTTTCAAAACGAACTTTATTTCCAAAGTGAACAAAAGTGTCGTCAGCATGTTCTATATACTCTCATAAAGCACGCTACAATCAGCCAATCAGAATCCCTGTTAAAATGGTTCAAATAATCTGATTGGCTGTCAAAAATTCTAAACCATCAAAGTTCAAAAACCATCAAAGGTCACATTCTGCAATAGTTTACAAACTTGATAGTTAGGTAGGTCGAATTTAACTCTTTCGCCTGAAGCCTTTTAGTCTCTAATACTGAATCTGAAAGTGAAATGTTCAGTGAAATCCGGCCGAATTGTGGTTATAAAGACACGCAAGTCTTTTTCACATGACAATTAGAAAACAAACCGTTCAAGCGTGTGTTTTATGAATGAACGACAGCCGAATTTACCGGAACATGAAGATTGCTCGGGATTACAGCGCCGTAAAACTCGGCTGCAGTGACTGATGTGGCCTTCCACTCAACGCATCAGAAAGGATATCAGAGCAAGCTCTCAGTTTTTCTCTCGACGAGCGGCCGATGTAGTTTCTGAGGCTTACTTGACTGCGATGACCGGGGATCGCCATGATGAGCTAGACGCGTTTGACCTCAGCATGACACCGTCATGATTAGTAGAATTTTAACAGTTATGCCAGTTTGGCTGTATTTTTCATCATTCCTGTTTTGTTCTGTTTTGTTTTTGAACACGAAACTATGTATACTACACGAGTGTTAGCTGTGTTTGATTTTTATAACCGTAGGTAAGCTTGCAACTTAAGTGAGTGTGAAAACCCTCAAAACTCGGACTGTCCATTTCGTTTACTCTTTGAGGATTTTCGTCTCGGCTCACGTCAATTACGGCAGCTGGCACGTTTACATTCCTTCGTTTGGTTCTTCTGTTGCTATTTGTCGACTTGCCTGTTCCGAAATTTCACTTTCAATTGAAGAAAAAAAAACTAGGGAAAAGTTCCGTAGAGAATCAGACATGGTAGATGGCGTGACAGCTTTAGCTCAGCTCTATGCTCTATTGTCTTATAAAGCACGCTCTTTCAACCAATGCCTGCGTGTGTTATATCCGAACTTTATTATAATATACAGTAGTCAGAGCAATTTCGCAGAGACAGTTTTGGTAGTAGGCTCAAACTGAGATAAAAGTATGCTTCCATTTTTTAGATATCAAACCAAAGCATATTTTCGATCACTTCGCGACTTTAAAATAGACTGCTTTATAGATAGAAACGACTCTTGCGTTTCACATCTAAGGTAAAGGAATGTATATAGTATCCCTGAGCGAGGTATTTTTATTCCTGACCTATCTACCTTCCTTGGTGCATCAAACTGCAACTTAAATATCATGATAAAGAAGATATACTTACGTGGAAGAGCTTCTCCCCACAAGGTCTTGTCGTCTATCTTCACTAAGTTTACTCCCATACTTAAATTGTGAAAATCCGCAACTCCGGATTCCATCCCTTCAGGAAGCTTTCCCGTAAATTCAATTTTAAATGACAAGCCGATCTGACGCTAAATAAATTTTTTAAAAAATTACAATAAACTTTTTGCTGGCAAAAAAATAAGTCGTAATCAAATCAAAAGTGGCATTGTTTTAAATAAATTATGTATTAATTCACTAATATATTCATCTGTTTATCGCACGACGGGACACAATATGAACAGTATCAGCAATCTCTTTCCTCCTTCCTCTCCTTTCTCATTTTCACTGCTTCTCAGTTAGTCCCATACCTTAGCTAAAACTTGGGTTTTAATTGTAAGTACAACGGTTAAAAAAGCCATTTCTTATGGCTCGCATTGGATCTGCTCGATGATAACAAGAAACTTAATATAATACCTTCAAAAGAACGATGTCTGGATTGATGCGTACCACATGGGGGGGGTTTTCAGGCAAATTCTCTGTTGATTGTGATATCCACAAGAAGAAATGATACAAGTCAACCGACAAGTAAATTGATCAAATGAAGGTATGCGTATCAAGAAAAGCGGATCAGCTTAAAGTTAAGCAGGCTTTGTTTAACGATTAACAATGACCGTATATGGCTACTTTGGAACAATGGCGGAAACAGCATTAAAATACACGTGGAATTTTTTTAAAATTTCCGATTATCATACGAGCGGCAGATTTAAACCATCGGCAAAACTCATGATAAGACAAATCCTCCCCGTGGGGGTGGTTCTGGTAGATTTTTTAGGATGCAAATAGTCACGGTGGGGTGGATGGTGGGGCGACTGCAGCTTTCTTATCTGAAGTAAAGAGATGTCGCCGTTTTTTCCTTTATATTGCTTAAAACTGGGGAAAGATATATTCAATTAGAGGCTCACTGTGCAATGCAAAGGTAATAAAAGCATTTGAAACCTGTTATTAACGTTCGAAGCCTACCACGCCGTTGAACCATGTAGAAGACTATCGTCATTTGCTCGATTGTTTAATGTGCGAGTATTTAAATTTCGCGCTGCGTGAATGAGATTTTATTCCTGATGTGCACTAAGAAGTTCATATTCTCCTTCCTCTAGCCTGTGATTTGAACCTGGTAATAACGCCCGAAGCCTCGCGCGTCGTTAATTCATGTAGTTTCATTGGTATTATTCTCTTTCCGTATTTCAATTCAACGAAAGGAGTTTAAAAAAACAATGGCGAGTGGAAATAGTCGCACACGCTCGTCAATTTCTCCCATTCGACTCGACTGTTCAATCCGAGTATATTTAAATTTCGCGCTTCGTAAGCAAGAAAAACTGAATAATCTCCTCCCACAATTTTTTTGTGTTCACACAAACCGACATCTAATTGATGCCTATTCATCCTTTTGTGTGATAGCAGGAGGTGAGATTTTTTTCGCATAGTCATGTTCTGCTAGTTTCTTCTTTTTTTTTTTCTTTTTTTTGCTCAACAGGTTACGTGTATTCAATCACGTCAATGACGCTGTCAGATTCATCTACCAAATTTTAGGGCAATCAAATTTGGCGCTACGAAAGTTATCCTATTTTCCTAGTTTGCATAAAGCGCTGCGCAATCGCCTCCCATAATTTGCTTTCGCGCTATAAACCGCCTCCTAGACTTGTGAGTAAAATATCACACCCTCGTCTTGCCGCGCGTTTGATTGAAAACGAGAATAACACAAAATAGATGTTCTCTCAAAAACTAGAGACGATTTCCTCGATCAGTTCATTTTGTGTCATCAACATCGTTGCAAGATTTCTGTGCTTTTGTAAAGCAGGAATCCTCTTCTAGGGTAGACTTGTTGGTTCCAGAAAGTGAGCGCCTCGTGACAAAACAGCTGTGCGCCAGCGCCTTCTCTCTGCGAAAATTTGGAAAAGCTGTTGACAGCTCCTTACTTTTAACAAAGATCGTTAAAATCCGCTGTAAAACTCTGATAGTTTTTACTGAGAGAGACTTACTTTTAAGCAGGACCTGCTTTTTCTTGCAAAAGAAAAATTTAAAAAAAACTCGCACCTTCTTCATTGTGAGACGTGAGTGAAAAAATATCACACCCTCATCTTGCCACGCGTTTGATTGAAAACGAAAATAACTCAAATACATGCTCTCGCAAAAACTAGAAATCATTCCTTTGATCAGTATATCTTGTATCATCAACATAGTTACACGAATTTGGCGCTTTTTCAAAGATGGATCCTCGTGTTAGGTAAACATGTTGGTTCTAAAAATGATGAGCGCCTCGTTTGAAAAAAGCTGTGCGCCAGAAACAAGGTCTTCAATCGCCTCGAGGCTCTCCACAGAAAACCGTCACTTTCGATTGTATTTAACACCAGTAGTAAGACCAAAAAATGTATTTGTACGTTGACTTTTTACCAGGCGACTTGACTTACATATAGAGAGAGGTGGTTTAAATGAGTCACTGCAATACGGATAAATTTAATTATTTTTGAATTTGCGAACCATTGGCTCGATGCACTAAACGTGAGTCAAGTCTACCCTTGGGTACACCGATGGAGATTGATTTTACTAGTGCATGTTTACACTACCCACTCCCCCAGTGCAGCAAAATTGTCACTCCGATAATTTTCTCGATCAGTTACGAGCTTTTCCGCCTCCCTTCGGCCACAGTCTCTCAGGACTACCAATTACTCAGGACTTTTGTTTGATGCTTAATGGAAAAATTGACCCGGAACAATGGGCCATTTCGTCAATCAAAAAAGCTAATTAAGTCTTCTAAAAATAAAGCTTTTCGTCGAGAAACATGAAAACCAAAGAATTCCTGTTCTTTTTTTTCAGATAATGTTGTGACCAAATACTTTGGAAATCCACACTCGGAACTAAGCATTAAAAAAGCGACAGAACCACAATTAAACAATTCCGTTGCCGCTAGCTAATTCAGCTTTTCTGACTCTCCCCTTCAATCTTGAACGATCACATCAGGTTCGCTGTTACAAGATTAAGACAGACTCGGTGACGTTCAATGGCATTTGGATCAATTCTAGGACCATTTAAAGAAGCCAGTCACCCAATACCAATCATTTTTATCCATCAGGAAGATTTTCTTATCTTAGATCTCAGCTGCAGACCATTAAAATTTTGACCAATTCTAAGCAATCAGTTGAGCTCCAGACAGGAACTTAACATGCTAAAAGCCGTAAAGCGGACTTACCAAAAGTTTAACAGGAGTAGTTGCTAGGAGTGAATTTTTGGCCACAACAACAACTCGAAAATGCTCTCCGCCATTTTCCGAGTTACAAACGATGTGTAGCATTCCGATTGCTAAGATTTGGAAAATTTTACTCTAACACAGACTTTTCAATTATGTATTTTCGTTGACCTTATGGACCTTGAATCATTTTCGTCAAATCAAAATGTAAGGGATATAGGCTATTGTCATGTAATCTTGACCTCAACTTGGCAAGTAACCAATGTCTAAACCAGCTAATAGGTAAAGTGCACACCTCCTTTTCCCATAGCTCCTCAAAATATGTTCGCCTTTCAAAGTTAAGCGAAAGTTGTGCGGGAAACTATCAGCACCAAGCCGAGGCTGAGGGGCATACGCGCTTATTTTGAAAGCAAGATCGAAGTGACTGTTAGTCAAATTCGAAGTTTTGTGCCATCTCTGTGTGCAAAAATAAACTCTAAAAAAAACGGATCCAACTTTTTCGAGTTTCCAGGCGAAGAGAGACTAAGAAAGAAATGGAGTGCCTTTTGTCGTCGCGATGATAAGGAGTTCACGTCCATCAAGAACTTGCATGTATGCTCCGAACACTTCGAGACTAAACAAATCGTGAAGACACTCTCTGGAATTAAAAAGCTAGCACACGGCGCGGTTCCAACAATAATTAATCAGCATATAGTCCGTAGAACTCCAAGTCAACGCCAAAAAAGGTCGAGTGAGCGGAGAAAACGAGACGCTAGCGAAGACATTAAAGAAGTACTTCCCGCGTGTTTCTACTGTTATTGCTCTGAAAGACCACGACTACACCCTTAAGGAAAACAAAGTTCATAGAGAAGAAGTTTTCAAAGAGAAGGACAATGTGACTGTTTCTTGCCAAACAGACATTAACCTCCAACAAATGGATGATATGATAAAAAAATTTATCGATGTTAAGAGCTGATAACAAAACAATTCGAAACGAACTCAATAACAGGCCAGCATTGAAACGGAAACTATTCATGGATAATGTACTGAAAAGTGATGAATCCGTGAAATTCTCCACGGGATTTCCAACTTTTGCCTAATGTCGTCATCAATTGAATCGTGGAACTACAGATCCTCCCCATGCCCGTCAGTAACTAAGCGAAAACCCTCAAGACTTTTATGCAACCGTAAACGATCTTCATCGTAGCCATCTTTTCCAACCAGATAATGGTAAATATCGGGAAACCCGAAGTCTGGTATACCGGTGAAGTCATGAGTCCAAAACTTCAGCGAAAATGGATGGGGAAGTAATTTTCCTCCTGACAATGTTATCTTATCTTGTTATCAAGTTTTGGAACTTTTATTTCGGCCGCGTTCTTGCAGAGCTCTAGCAGTTCTGCCCTTTTCCTACTCTTACCGTTTACAGAAATTTGAATATCCCTTTCCTTTAAAAATTTCCGAAGTTCCGGAACTTTCATATTTGTGAAGGGATCATTCGCTGCCATGTTGAGACGACTCCTATTCCCCTCAGCCTCGACTTGATACTGAAAACTAGTTATCAGACTTTCTCGCACATGCAATTCGATACTAGCCTATTGGTAAATTCATGAATATAACTTCGCATTACGTCAACCAGAAAAATTTGTTTATCTATCAGATCTTGGACGTTAATGATTGAGAGTATGCAGATATAAAACAATGACATCATCTTTAGTACTTACCTCCTGAAGAGTCGATGGAGTTTTCTGATACTATATTAGAGGTGGAACCCGGTATGAAGGCTTCATATGTCTTATCACCACTTTCCTAAAACAAACATTGGTAGTGGTTAACCACCCTAATATTTGGTTTCGTTGCTAAGTCCGATACTTCTGATAAATATAACAAAACAAACCAGTAAGTAGCCATGGAAAAGACTGAAGAGCCGTGGCCAGTGAGTAACGCGTTCTACATTTTTAACCAAATAAAAGAGATGGTCTATCTTAGGGTTACTTTGCAGTCACTGTCAAGTTCTTACTATTCTTTCTGTAAGCCATTTCTAGAAGGTAACTATAACCTCCTAGATTTCTGGCCAGTTGTAGCCGCATCACTGGTATTTAAAATAAAGTAAGTATAAAACTTCTTGGCTAATCAATAAGCTGCTGTACATTAAAGAAATCATTACCTCATTCATATGAGATGCTTCTCCTGAGAGGTCATCTTCTGATACAACACTGGTCCCCGAGGAAGGACTTAAGGTGCTTACTACTGGAGCTACGAGTTGACCATGCGCACCACTGATCAGGTTATCTAAGAAAAAAGGGACACGTGATAAATGAATCTGCATTTCCTATCTGCATCATATCAGTTTAAACAATTTCTCTCAACTTAAATGATATAGCGGTCAAAAACAACAAAAAAGCTATATATACATACTGAACGTTCTCCATCGGAACAGTTTTGTAAATGTTATAGCAAATCTTTCCGAGCGTATGATTTATTTGGATCTCTACCATCCTTGGTGTGAGATCGTTAGCGCCTATATATTTAGTTAACCTATTGTTTCCTATATGGGGCGAGTGGAATGCGCCTATAGGCGTGCAATTTATTCAAAATGCTCTCGCGGCTTTGGCATTTTAAATTTCGTCGATTTGGCAGGAACGTCATTCAGTTCGTTTTAGTTTACTTGGAAAGACAACTGCAATATACAGTGCAGTTTATGTCGCCATTTCCAAGGCCGTGACAAATGTAAGTGTCATTTTTTGGCAATTGTCTATTTAGATTTTGTGTCGCTTTCGGCTTGGATTCTTCTTTACTGTAACTATTGTTTATATGTATTTTTCTTTCAGTTTTAATCGTACGTTACGTTAAGGTATCGCTCTACTGCAAGGTATCTTCACACTGCTTGTCAAGTCAATAAATATTAAATGCATGTTAAAATATCATTCCTGGTGTCGGCATCAAATCCGCTGTGTTGCTAAGCAGTTATACTTGGTTTCCTTTTTCGAGAAAAAAGGTCAAAAAGCAGCTTTGTGCTTCCACTAAGGAAAACTTAATGGACAGTGGTTCTGGCCACGTTGAAAATAACAAACTCACTTTCCTAAAGAACTTTGCTTCGCTAGTGGTTTCGTTCCTTCCTACATATTTACGTTGGTCCATTTTCTAGCCACTTCAATGGACAGCAAAGATTCCCTTATTAGTTTCTACGCTTACCGTCAACTTCTTTAAACTTTTTGCAAACTTCGACCATGAAGTTATCATGACGTATTTTCTCCATATGTAGTTGTTCCTTCAACGAGTCCACACTCTTCTCTGACGAACTAACCCGCTCCTCGAGAGAACTGCATCGCTTCATAAGGATTTCAACTTTGGATGCAAGCAATTTTAATTTTCTGTCATTATTTAGCGTGAAAATCCTCATGAGGTCACGCAAATCTTTACCCGTGATCAGGTCCCAGCCTTAAATCGACAGAATGAAAATGTTAGACAAAATAACATGAGGTAAAAATGCTTATGAAAAGTATGCATAAAAGGTAGACAAATTTATTCTGAGGCTGGAAGGGGCTTGTCTTATTCATCTTGGTGACACCATGTTTTGCAGGGTTGGTAGTCGGGCTTGTGCCCTGTCTTCCCTAGCCATTGAGCAAAGTCTTCATGGTTGGAAGGTGGTTGAGTGATAGAAGCATTGGTTTGCGGAGGGGGCTCAGTTTACGTTGCAAACACCGGCTAAGTTTATCGCTGGCCAATGAAATGCAGGGGTTTCACGCCAAGGTTACCACCTAGCCTATTGAAGGAGGGGTTGGAAATGGCTCTGTGGCTAAAGATCAAGGGTGAGGAGGGTAGATTTTTTAACCCTTCGGTAAACTGGATTTTTCTCTAAGGTTGGAAGGGGGATAAAAAACCAGGTTCGTGCCCGACCACTGCCCAGCTGGTGGGTGAACACCCTGTGGTAACTGAGGCAGAGGGGGGGGATGAGAGTCCAAAGCAGCGAGATTTGGAGGGGTTGCAAACGTCTGTCCGCTAAGTTATCGCATGAACGCAAGTACCACCCTCGTTTAAGCCAGCCTGGCCGCTTAAAACGCAGTGGGCGTAATTTCAATAGATTACGGGCAGTCCCTCCTTTTCGGCGAATTCTGTCAGAAAGCAGTAATGCTTATCAACGCTTGTCGACGTTTTAAATGGCTGATAACCTGCTGGAATTTTTCTTGCAGGTCTGACAATTCGTTCACCGAAATCAGATCAGACTGAGGTGCTAGAAGCTCTTATCGCTCGCAAAGACGTTCTCGCAATTTTGCCAACCGGCTTCGGAAAGAGCGTTATCTACCAGGTGTTTTGTTTCGCAAAAATTTCGAAAGCGTGTGTCCTTGTTATTTAACCGCTTAACAGCATCGTGGTGGAGCGAGTCAATGATCTCAACAAACTTGGCCTTCCGGCCGTTCAGTTATCAGAAAAGGACTAAGACTCCATGAATGCTATCCCTCCTCTCGTTTTCTCCCAAATCACACAAAATCCTCAAGATTTCGACAAGGACGTCGTAGTGAGCTAGAGCTGCACTACGAGCATGGCCAACAATTATTAAGAACCACATCGTAAATGAATGCAACGTGGCCGACGATCACCCTAAAAGGTGCGATAACAAGAAAAAGGACCTTTACTCTCTCGATGGTGAATACTTAACAGATCATGTTATTTCACAGGCAGCCCAAGCTCCAGCTGTGAGATGATCATCTTTGCGAAATAAGAGTCATGGCGAAAGTATAATAGTTTATATAGGAATATTTACGACCGCTCTTGGGAATAAAAAAAATATAGTCAAATTTTCAATAAAAATACCCCACCTTACTTCCACAGTGCATCGCTTGTTATCTGACCGTTTACTATGTTAAAAAGAACCCGTTTTGGCGAGTTGTTAATTTCTAGGTTTTTCCTATGTGCGTAGTAAACTTAGAAATGGATAACTCGCAAAAATGGGTTCTTTTCAACATATTAAGCGGTCAGATAACAAGCGATGTACTGTGGAAGTAAGGTGAGCTATTTTTATTGAGAATTTGACTCAATTTTTTATTCCTAAGAGCGGCCGTAAGTATTCCCATACAAACTCTTATAATTTCGCTATGACTGTTATTTCGCAAGATGATCATCTCACAGATGGAGCTTGGGCCGCCTGTGGTTAATTATGAGAGCTACGCTCTTTTAGAAGGCTACATCCGGTGGCACGATCACCTACACCAGCATGACAGAGAAGGAAATTAAAACGGTATACGAAAACCACTAACACTCTTTAACAACTGCATCGCTCAGTGGACATTGAGTGCCTGAAACATCCACGAGCTTCCACTGTTGGCAGCCAGCTCCTAGATAGAGACTTCTCCCATTGCTGGCAAATTTTGGTAACCTAGCCTAGCAGCGCAGAGAGGAACGACGGGCTGGCAAGAGGGACAGGTGGCAAAGAAGAACCATCATGTTAGGAACCCTAGAGGTGCCCGAACGCAGGACGCTGACAACGGCTGTATAGCCCAAACATCGATGGCCCCAATTTGTGGCTTATCGATGGCCCTATAGTGCGGCTGAGATGACCACTGAGAAGAGCTCCATGCAAACAATTGACAAGCGTTGTTGAGAGGTAGACAACTTCCCCACAAACCACTCGTGGTAGAAGAGTGCACCATAACCCAGAGCTCCGGCTGTGTCCGAGGAAACAGAAAAACTAGGCACCTGGGGGAGAGCAGAAAAACTGAGGCCATCTCATGAATGGAAGAACTCACGCCACTAAGAGAGGTCCAAACAGAATTCTTGATTAAGCCCTGTGGGGTGGTCATTCCGCCAGAATGCTGATAACAAGTTGATCATACGCTGTAAAAGGCACGCCCCTGAGGAACGACCCTACAATCGCGCTAGAGAGTGCCAACCAGAGACTCCAGCTCCCTTCTCATACAACGCCGTTTAGAAGACCAAGCACCCAACAAGGATATGAAGCACTTAAACCTGGCCAGCGGAAAACGAGCCCGAAGGGCAAGCAAACCCAGCCCAACACCGAGCACCATTAAGAAGCGGACGCCCCCTCCCCAGTCTATCTAGGTGAAGGGGGATACCCCAATCCCCAAACGCCGAATACACATATCCATACTGCTCCGGCAGACAGGCAAGCTGGGGTGGACCCAGTGTGGGGAAGTCATCCAGTTTGTGTGAGGTAAAATTCCCACACCGTAACCACGCCCGAGAAACCACCCAGCAGGTCCGCAATAGAAGAGAAGATGAACGGGGCGGAGTGTAATCCGAAGGGAAGAGCCAAATCCATAAAATAATTGCCTCCCCACTTCATGCCAAGCAAATAACGATCATCAGAATGGACGGGGACATTGCAATACACACTTTCCACATCAAACCCTGCCACAAGTGCCCGCCGGCCACAAGACACGACGCTGATGATAACATTGTCTACCTTCATGTACTGCAAAGAGAAAGGCACCAAAAGGAATGCTGTCGCCGACGCCACAGCCTAATGGCCACAATAAGCCACCACTTTTCACTTTTCAGGTTGGTATTTCTTTGGGATCACTCCAAAGTGACTGATATGAAGGCCAGACTTGGAGATATAGAGTAGGGACCAGCTACGCGACCTCTCTTATATAAGAGGATCAATATAATAGGATCAAAGCTAAGACAAAAACCTCTAGTAATACCAGAAATCACAAATCCACTTTTCTTTAGTCGGGGCAAAAACATCCCTGATGCAGTTGATCTGCGTCAGGGACTTATCTGGAACCAAATCTTGTTGAACAGCACCAGTAATGGAACGCTTAGTGATGGAAGAGGTAGGAGCCTCCTTACACAAAATTGTCCGCAAAAAAGTGCATCAGACGCCAAAGAAACAACCACATAACCGGAACAGAATAGGAATTGCGTGAAACTGAAACTGAACGAGACAACTGTATACTTAAGGTGGGGGGGGGGGCCTTAGGCGATCTACAGACCCCCTAGCTGCTCGGGAGTGGTGATCACAAGATTTGGAGGCACGAAGGGGGGTAGCTGTCTTGAGGGTGGTTCTCCTCGCATCTCCACCAGCACCAGCACCGACCAAAGGGCCAGCGACAGGCACCATCATTCCATGATTTGCAGAAGTTGGATGACAAGCCGCCTGAGTTCGGGAATGGAGAAAATACGGCTGATGACTAGGATTGTGGCGCCAAACGAGTATCGAGATTGTACAGGTGGAGGTTCATACGAGACCAGTCTGCCAGGCCTGATGCAGCTGCGTCCTACCAAAATCAGTGTCATGTTAAAGCCAGGCCTTGCCCGAGAACTGACGTGAGGTCTTCAGAATCAGGAACTAAGACTGTTTCATGTCCTGCCATCTAGAAAGATGTGCACAGCAGAAAATCCACATGTACACCATGTGATCTCTTGTATCACTTTCTTTGATCAACTCACCAAAAGTTTGCCATCAAGAAATGTTTGCCTTCAAGTTTTCGCCTAATAGGTTGGCCACATCAACAAATTGCTCTGACCTGACCTTGATACCCAGCTTCTCTGAGATGGGGAATAATCTGGGCCAACGACAAAAGGCCTGTTCAGAGAAGAAGGGATCCCCGGCGAAAAGGTAGATGCGTCAACAGAACCGACAGAGAACGCCGGCGCAGAAGACTGGCCGATGGCGGGAAGCGCTCCATTCATGGCACCCCGCGAGCCAAACAAAGATGGCGAGGTTAAAAACAACTGCCTAACGTGCAATACTCGGAAATGAACGACGGCACAACAAAATTACCTGACAATAAGCCTGCTGAGGATGGGGGAGAATTGATGGCAGAGGAGCCAGAAGAAGTGGAGCTCGATAGCATGTTTTCCGCCGATGTGTAACGCGACACCAAAGTCCATGTATTCGCGGAGTAGCTTTACATGACCACCAGAAAAATGTGAGGTAACGACTCGTCTAACGCTTCGGAAAAGGCTTGACTGAGATCCTGAGCAGGGAGCCCAAAAGAAGGAGAGGTGGCTGCAGGGGCTGAGGTAACCCAGGTTTCTGCTAAGGGAGGATGAGGATCCGTAGAGAACGGGACCGAAATAATTACTTCCGACGATTCCAGCATGTCGAACGTCCCGAAAGCTGATCCATACGAACGAAAGCAGTAAACCACCAAGAAAACAAACAAAGTGCATAAGCCTTTGGAGAAGAAAACGGAGTGGGGAAAACGAAGACTGCCTGAATGATGAGCTGGTACTCTTCGCAATGATGCAAGTTCAAGCTCAAAGCACAGGCAAGAACGCCTCAAACGAAGGGCAAATGGAATTCTGACGCACGCGCATATACAAAAAGCCGCTGACTCCTAGAGAACGCCAATGCTCTTTGTTGTTGACTCTGTTAAATTGCATTTAACTGCAGTTAAGCGACGGAAAGTAGATGCACGACACTTTCCCTTCAATACACGTCTGGGAGTTAAAAGATTCAAATATGGAATATGATTTTACATGGCGCATCATCAAGAGGGAAAACCCCTACAAAGTAAGCCTACCCCGCTGCAACTTATCCTTAACACAGAAACTCTGCCTCCTATGTCAACTTGCTCAAAAAAGATCTGAACTGGTCAGCAGATATCACCACGAATACAAATTTTTCGCGACTAAAAAGCGCAATCCCAGCCGTTACTGAATTTTTTAATTTGACACTTTAATGTTAAAGTCTGCTCGCGCCACAGGTGGCCCAAGCTCCAGCTGCGAGATGATCATCTTGCGAAATAATAGTCATGGCGAAATTATAAGAGTTTGTATGGGAATATTTAGGACCGCTCCTGGGTCGAAAATTACTTATCCGTTTCTAGGTTTACTACGTACATGAGAGAATAATTTCTCCTATGAAATGTAGTAAAGCTAGAAATGAATAACTCGCCAAAATGGGTTCTTTTCAACATAGTATAGAAACATAGACAAAATGGGTTCTTTTCAACATAGCCTATGTTGAAAAGAACCCATTTTGTCTGTGTTTGTATGAGAATATTTACGACTGCTCATAGGAATAAAAAATACAGTCAAATTCTCGTTAAAAACACCTCACCTTACTTCCACAATGCATCGCCTGTTATCTGACCGTTTACCGTAAACGGTCAGATAACAGGCGATGCACTGTGGAAGTAAGGTGAGGTGTTTTTATCGAGAATTTGACTGTATTTTTTATTCCTATGAGCGGTCGTAAATATTCTCATACAAACTCTTACAATTTTAGCCACGACTCTTATTTTGCAAGATGATCATCTCACAGCTGAAGCCTGGGCTGCCTGGGCTGCCTGTGACCGCGCAGAAAAAAACATACAGTCTGACTATCGCTTGTACCCATCATCTCACACGTAGAGATCTTTTCTACTTGTCGCTGAGAATCTCCTTTGATACTAAAGAAACTTTAAATGAAAACAGATAAAACTGTACCGTTTGTATTCCATTGGTGCAGTTGATCCAAAGTATTCTTCTCTTGATCATCAGGTAATACAAGAGCCCTGACCAAAGCCTCGAGCTTTTCAAAGCACTGGTTCATATAATCTTCTGTCCAGGTTCCCTCAGTGTAATGTGCACCAGGGTTTCTAACTACATCCTTGACATCATCAGCCAGAAACTTAATATCTAGTGAAGGATTTGATGACACAAATACTTGGGTGGGGTAACTGTCATATCCCATAAGGCGCAGAGCAGCACTCAGATCCATGGAATTGTCAAATGCCGCAAACTTTGCAAGGAAACCAGGGAGATATAACTTGGCAAGATCCACCAGGCTGTTGATTGAGTAGTTGTAGTCAACTTTCGTTTTTTTCTCATCGTCGTTGTTGTTGTTGTTATTGTTGTTTATGTTTCTAAATTGCAAGCCTTTAAAGTTAGGATCTGAGCTACATATTTCATAAGTCAATGTCTGTAGATTGCATGATTTTGAGTTATTTTGCAAATAATTATTTAAAAAGACACTCAGTTTCTCAATTTCTTTAGCCACGAAATCCCTCAACAATGGAGTTACAATTTTGTCGGTGGCTACCAGAACCACGAGCCATCTCCTATCATTTTCAGAGACGCTCATCTTCAGAGAAAATCATCGGTGATGTAGTAAATACTCCACTGGATCTGAAACAAGAGTAAGGGCATACATAATCAGTGAATAAATCAGTGGGAAAATGCAAGATATATCCCGTCCTTTATTAACGTTAAGAGAAAATAGTGGAACCGAGGAGAGGAGTCCCTTTATTTCCTATTATTGGGGTAGGTTAACTTTCTCATTTTTAACATAATCTACAGCTCTTCTGGAGTTTGAATCTTGATTAAAAGCGGTATTATCATCATCATTGTCTGTCATTTAATTATGTGATTAGGTGTATTATGCATGCGTTTCGATTGGTTCTTTTTTAAAGAACACTTGTGACACTCGCACCACCTCGTGTGCCACTTTTTTGTTCTTAGCACATTTTAACATTATCTGTGATCGATTACTGATTAGACATGAAAAATTATAAAGTATGTAGCTCAACACAAAATCTACCGGTTAAGTGACTGACAGTCAAACAGCCACCTCTCCTGTCTGCAACAAGTCCCCTCTATCCCATAGTGGTCATAGTGGAGATGGTTCAAAAGTGGTATGAATAGAATTTGGGAGGGGATGGGCGATCAGTAAAATAAAAGTTGACCTTGCTATTAAAATGAAACGTTAAATTACCGTAGCTTTAGCGTTTCACTGTTTCCTGTTTTCCGTTGGTTCTTTTTTAAATCGGTTTGGGATTACGCTCAAATATGGTTGAAAATGATTGGTAACAACATGCAAAGAATTAAATCAATCCTCCACATGGATCCACAGGTAAAAAAGACATCGCAAGTTACTATGACTTCGTAAATTTACGTGACTGTTTGTGTTATCTATGACTTGACTACAACATATTAGTGCTTTGCGACAAGTGCTATGTTACAAGATTTACCTTTTTCCTTGCACCATAGCACCGTATTTCCTTATGGTAACATAACATAATTAATTTCGTCTCAGTAGCACTTTCAGGTTTCACATGGCTAACCCACTTATCCTTACCTTGTTGGCCAAACATCATCTCGTGGAAAGAGACCCGAACGGATCACGTGGTTTTTTTGTTTTTTTTTTTTTTTGCGCCATGAAGGCCGACAGGTTGATGACTTTAACTCGGTTTGTGTCAAAAAATCTCAAACTGTTTTCTTCGTTCAACCTGTCGAAATTTTCCTCAAAACGTTTTAATTTCTTGTTTTGTTGTCGCATGTCGATCTAGCACGTGCTTGGGGCTTCTGAACAGAGCACGAAAGAATGTGAAGAAATCAAAAGTGGTTCTCACTGCAACATCAAAATAATCTCCACACTGAATTTTATATTTGTATCCTCATCTCTTTGTTTGTCAGAATCATTTGAATGTCATATTTTTATCATATTTAAACTTTTTTCCGTCTATACTTTTCTCGTCTCTGCCGTAATCTGTTTCGTAACGCCCCCTTGACCAGTGTTAACTGCTGCCGGAAAGGGTTGACTTAAAAAGATTTTCAGGAGCTTTGAAATCATGTTCTTGCAGAAGCTCATTACGTTCCATAAAAAGGCTATTTCCAATTTACTTTTGGCCTCCTTTTCAGACCGGTCTCTCTTGGTCATCCTTTTATATGATTAAAAGTTTTCATTCACATGCAAACTAAATTCATTTTCATACGCATGGTTGAGCACTAGGCCTCATTTTAAAAAAGAGGCAAAAGGTAATTCGGAAATGGCCTCTTGGAAGCGTGCTGAGTCATTATGCGCAAGTATTTTTTTAAACTAAATACAGTCCAAAAACCCCGATTGACACTAAAAAATTCCTACCAAAAAGATCCGGATTTTTATACATATTCCTCACTCAATACAATTTACATAGAATTCAGTAATTCAGTAAGAACATTCATCCCGGCTATTTAATACTTCTTCTTTGTATTGGCTATTCCAATTTCCTTTTGTCAAGAAACTAAAGGACAAATATTCAAAGTCGTCGACACGAAAAAACAAATATATGGTTGAGTGCATTAATCAAACCACAAGCCCTCAAATTGGATTCTCCTAATTGTTTTGTTTTGTTTTTTCGACAAAAGACCTAACAGGCGCCAGAACGTGACTTAAAGGGCATTTAAATTTCCCTTCTCTATCCATTGTTTATACAGAGACGTGGGTGTGAAATTTCCTTTGTTGAGTTGATTTTACTTTGTGAAAAGTAAAAAAAAATACTACTTTTCTCCAATGTTGTTGTATATTGCCAACAGAGAGTAGATGTTTTAGCGTAACTGTTGTTCTGGTTATTTAGCGTTGGTATGAAATTCTTAAAACGCTCTGGGTCAGGGAAGCATCGGAAAATTGAAATAGCAACAATCGAACACGATGCAAGTATTATCAAAGAAAGAAAAGTAAAGACCTTCTGCGATTTGACAAGTCTATGAACTTAAAGATAGGCCTTGAAACCTGACTTTCACAATCGCAAGTTGTCCTTGTGATTTGAACATAATATGAGTCCAATTCGACACGATTTTATCGCCATACCGTTGATGCAAATGGTCGACACGAGCAAGAACGAAACTGTAAACGAAAACGAGAAACAGAAGCAGATCGCTTCAAACTGAGGACTAGTTTTGCATTCTTTACAAGAATAATTCGTTGCAAACTGTGTACAGAAATACTCCTGAGCTCTTCCATCTCTCAGTTGATACTTTTTAATGCTTTTCCCTTTTGAAAACATGAACAGAATTACATCGAGTTATTTAAAGCAGCGATGCCTTGATGACTCAGCTCTTTCTCTTTCACTATACTTTAACTTGCCACATAACTAATGATCATATTATCTTTTTCAAGATGAATCCTTTAGCTTACTGAAAATGCAAAAATAAGCATAAAATGGAACAAGCGAAATACGGGGTGATTAAATGTCGAAGGCAGACGTAGAGACATCAGAGAGTAGATGTTCTAAAGTAACTGTTGTTTTGGTTTAATTGACGTTGGTATATTAAAATACTTAAAACGCTCTGGTTCAGGGAAGCATCGGATCTACCAGACTTGACGCTAAGACTTCGATTAAGAAAGCATTTTTTTTTATGTGTGAGCTATATCTTTTAATTATTCTTTTCTTTCATGTTCAAGGACTTTGCTTCAATCTTGTTGCATATTTTCAGCAGAGAGTAGATGTTTCAACGTAACTGTTGTTTATGTTTAATTGACGTTGGTATAAGACTCTTAAAACACTCTGGGTCAGGGAAGTATCAGATCTACCAGACTTGACGCTAAGACTTCAATTAACAAAGCAGTTTTTTTATGTGTCAGCTATATCTCTTAACTATTCTTTTCTTTCATGTTCTTCAAGGTTATTTTTGTTACCAGCATAATGTGTAGTCACTCGAGCAAACAGCGAGCTTGTTTGCGGGGCCATTTACAAACTACTCAATCCATGTAATTTCTATGTACTGCGCAGGAAAGCTGCTCCCTTTGCTTCCAAAAACTTTCTTATACTTAGATTCAAGCCAAAACTTCGCAATATTTTTAAGGCATGTCCCCTTTTCGAGTGTGAAAAATGGCTGGAAGTAGAGAGATCGAGGGACGTTAACCTATTTGCATTAAAAGTCATCATTACTAAGTATTTTCAAAGAAAGGAAAGCAAAGACTTTCTGCGAATTTACAAGTCCGTGAATTAAAAGATAGGCCTTGAAAACTGAATTTCATGACCCTATATCGGTTGAATGAAACTTATCTTCATTTCTGTAATCAGTCGGGTAATTTCGTCTCCAGCTGCTCAAAGCTTTCTTCTGGTTTTAAATATAGCCGCAACAAAGAAACACTTTTCGCGAACGGCATTAAGCGAAACGTAAAGCGGAAACGTTTCTTAATTTGTATCTACATAGAAATTCAACATCATTTACAATCTCGAGTCGTCCTCGTAATTTGAGGATAATATAAGTCCAATTCCACACGATTTTATCGCCATACAATTAGTGCAAATAGTCGACACAAGCTAGAACGAAACCGTAAACAAAAACGAGAAACAGAAGCACATCACCTCAATTTAAAGACAGTTTTGCATTCTCTACGACAACAATTCGCTGCAAACTTTTTACAGAAATACTCCTGAGCTATTCCATCTCTCAGTTGATACTTTTTGATGCTTTTCCCTTTTGAAAACATGAACAGAATTACCTCGAGTTAATTAAAGCGATCATGCCTCGACGACTCAGCTCTTTTACTTTCTGGAATGTGCCTTAACTTGCCACATAATTAATGATCATATTATCTTCTACAAGATGAAACCTTTAGCTTACTGAAAGTACAAAAAGTAAGCATAAAATGGAATGAGCGAAATGCGGGGTGATTAAATGTCGTAGGCAGACGTTGTATTCAAAGCTACCTTCAAAATCTAGCCAAACTGTGGGTAAAATCTTCTTGTTAAACGCTTAATTGAGACTAACAAAAGAATCGGCGATCTGTTCAGCTGGACTTTGCTCCAATCATGTTGCATATCCTATCATATGAAAGTTTCAGCAGAGAGTTAGATGTTTCAACGTAACTGTTGATTATGTTTAATTGACGTTGGTATAAGACTCTTAAAACACTCTGGGTCAGGGAAGTATCAGATCTACCAGACTTGACGCTAAGACTTCAATTAACAAAGCAGTTTTTTATGTGTCGGCTATATCTCTTAATTATTCTTTTCTTTCATGTTCTACAAGGCTATTTTTGTTACCAGCATAATGTGTAGTCACTCGAGCAAACAGCGAGCTTGTTTGCGGGACCATTTACAAACTACTTAATCTATGTACTGCGCAGGAAAGCTGCTTCTTTTGCTTCCAAAAACGTTCTTTTACATAGATTCAAGCCAAAACTTCGCAATATTTTTAAGGCATGTCCCCTTTTCGAGTGTGAAAAATGGCTGGAATTAGAGAGATCGAGGGACGTTGACCTATTTGCATTAAAAGTCATCATTACTAAGTATTTTCAAAGAAAGGAAAGCAAAGGCCTTCTGCGAGTTTACAAGTCCAAGAATTAAAAGATAGGCCTTGAAAACTGAATTTCAT